TCGGCTCCGCCCAGCGTCGGCCGTTTTCGTGTCCGGTCCATCCACGTGCGCCTGGATCCAGCGAAGCTCCGTCAGCGCCGACGACAGGTCACGGCAGACGGGCAGCAGCAGGGCTGCGCCCGGGGAGGATCGGCGTGCACGCCAAAACAGCGACGGCCGGAGACGGGGCATGAAACGGGCGGTCGCAATGTCGTCGGACTCGGCGCTGCGCGTCATGCAATTGTGCGCCGCAAGACGTCGACGGTCTCGACCAGTCTTTTGGGGAAGGGTGTCCTTGCCGTGGCGCTCTTGCCCGCTAATGCGATCTGTGCCTGCCCGTAAGGCTGAATTGGTGGCTGTTCCAGAAGCAGGCACGACTGCGAAGCAAATCACATTCGAGAGGGAAAGAGCACCCCTGGCGTGGTTGCGCACAGTGGCCTGCCCTAGTTCATTTTAGTGTCAGCGCCAATCCTCGCAGAAAGAACGACCCTTTACGTCTTGGCGCCATGAACAATCGGGTTGGTCATTGTTCTGGCAGGAACGACCGACGCCAGAACAGCGAAAACCGTCACCGGTCGGAATACAAACTCGAGGCCAAAAACAACTGTAAAAAAAAAAAAAAAAAAAAAAAAAAAAAAAAAAAAAAAATAAAATAAAAAAATAGGAATGAACATACGCCGTACGGCGCCATAAATCATCAGCTGGTGCCAGAAATAGCAGCAACACTGGAGTAGTCTGAGTAGTGTGCCCCGCAGACCCTGGCCGATTGCAGCGAACACGAGAACACGTTACGAACCCACTGACACTCGTACCTTCCGCATGTCCCAGCGGCTGAATCCTTCGATAGAACAGCCTGGATAAGGAGAGAAGGCGCGGCCGAGAAAAGAGAGAGTGGGCAAAGGAAGGAGCCAAGCAGAAAATTCAGCACTGGGCAGAGGTACCCAGGATCTGCAAACAGAGAAAGACCAGGCAAACCGCTCATGAAATACCACGCACTTCTTCGTAAACATCACTACAATCCCCGCCCCTTAACAATGGTGCGCCCGGTGCTATCTATCGGCTACTGTGGATCAGGTATCGTTTCGAGCCACAAGCTCCTCCCGGCTGCCTCCTTCCTTTTTAAACTGGGCTTCGGAGGGAATGGGTTAAGGAAGGAGCGGAGCGCCAAGGACACTGTATCTTCGCTCTGTATCTTACGTACGTCGTTGTAATGCGTTGTAATGGCAGGCACGTGTAGGTCGTGCAGGGAAGGAAGGATTGGGCACAGAGCAGAGACAGGAACCAGTCATCAATTCGTTGCCTGCATAGACACTAAAACGCAAATCCATCTCGAAACAACAAAAAAGCAAGAAACGAGATAAGCGACAATCGGGCTAACAACGCGAAGACAAACAAAACGGCTCTCGTGTCAACAGGCAGGCCCCAATCCGACAACAAAAAGGGACCAAGTTAAAGCCAATCGACAAAAGCTTGGCAGCGAAACCGTCGCACACTGCTGTCTTCAGCCGCAAAAGACACAGCAGCGATCCGAACATACGGAGCATTCCTGTGTCTCTCCGGCCTGGGCGCAGGAACCGACGAAAGGGTCGAGTGAGGCTTGGCCGACAGATGCCATTTTGCCATTTCGCCATTTTCAAACTCGCTAATTTCCCCGTTCGGTTCAGCGAGCGGGCGACGGCGTCCACGTTTTCGCGATAGACGAGAGCAAAAGAGGAAAAAGTACAAAGTACAGAGGACATCGAAGAGAGAAGGGCAAAAACGCCTGGGCGTAAGCAGAGCGCAGTCTTGCTCCATACTTTTGAGCTGTCCAATTTCAGACAATACGTCTCTCGCCCCACGACAGCGACAGCAAACAACAAACGAGACGAGACGACCAGCCAGAGATGACAAACCAGGGCGACGAAGGATAGACAACGACGAACAACGATAAACAACAACGATAAACAACGACGATAGACAACGACGATAGACAACAACGATAGACAACCGCACGAAGCAACGCAACACGCACCAGCCACCACCGTCGCCGCTCCCTAGCATGTTGCCGCCGCACGCCGTCCTCTGCACTCGGCCGACCAGCGAACGCGGCCGGTAGAGGCCCGACGAGAGCTCGAGCTCCTGACGGCGAGACGATACAGAAACGCGATTCGAGACGACGGGCCAAGTGAATGGGCCGCCGACCAACGTGAGATGGCCAGCCAGACCAATCCCGCCATGGACACGTCCACCTCCGCCTCCACACCCACCTCCAGAGCCACGCCCACGCCCACGCCCACGCCCATGCCCACCGAGACCGTTGGCTCGCTGCTCGCCGCCATCGCCACGGCTCTCCAGGACGTCCTACGCATCCTCATGTTCGCCGACAAGCGCGGCTGGGGGCCCGACGAGTTCGAGCAGGTCCGCGCCGTCGAAGAGGCACTCGACGAGGCCAAGCGCGACTTCCAGGCCATGGCCCCGCTCGTCAACGGCCAGTTCTACTATGAAAACGACCGGAAACGTATGCCTTGTCCTCTTTTTGGTTTTTTCTTTGTTTATGTGCATACTCGTGTGCCATTCAACTAACAATCCCAGCCGAATCGCTCGCCGAGCTGTCTTCATTACGCGGCTACTTCGAAGACCACACACAGCTCTTCCGCGACTGGATACGATCGGGCGGACCCATCAACCCGCTCTGGGTGCGCGAGACCGTCCACCTGCGCCGCCAGCTGCACCGCGCACAGTGCCGCGCCGCACGCCGCATATTCAACGCTGAACACGAGGCCGGCGATGGCAGCGGCAGCGGTGCTCGCTGCTTGGGTGCGTTCCTGGTGTACCGCCGATTTCGCGAGCAGGAAGGCCTCCGGAAACAACAAGTCCGTGGCCAGGCATACCAAAAACAAGACGGGAGCAGCAGCCAGAACGGTAGCCAGTCCCAAACTATACCAAGCACCCCGGCATGGAAGCAGCAGCTGCCACAGCTACGGGCGCGCGAGCGGCGGATGTTTGCTGGCCAAGAGCGATTCCGCGGCCGGACAGCATACAATGACACGCACGACGACGAAGGGGACAGCCTCGAGATGACACCACAACCCCGGCATGCTCCCCCTCCGCCCCAAAACGCAAGCGCCAATCCAGCCTCAGCAAGGCCACTCCTCAAATCAGCTATGAAAGCATCGACAAGAGCACCATCTACACCAGCAGAGATCCCCGCATTTGCACCAGCGTCGACGTCTGCAACGACACCACTACCTACACCCTCGACCTTTACCGGCTCGTTTGAGCCGGCACAAACAACGATACCCCTCCACCCCGACGAACCTCCTTCTCCGCCACCGAAACCACCAACACTCGAGGAACTTGTGCCCTACTGCAACGCCGTCGGCACGTTTGAACGCTTTGGCGACCGTGACATTGCCTTCATCTGCGACTTCTGCGATGGCCATATCGTATGGGAGGATGTGCAGCGACTGCCCACGACACGTCTACCGCCTGCCGCCATCTCCTCGTCTTCCACACCCGCCACCTTTCCCCCATTTACCACACCGAAAACTACGGCATCCGCACAAGCCACACCACTACCAACCTTTCGACGACCGTCAGCACAGCTGTCGTCCATACCACAGCCGGCTTCGTCTGCTGTGTCTGCTGTGCTCGCTGCGCCCGACAGTGAGGGCGGTGAAGACGACTACCCGCGGTGGCAGGCGACCACGGTGGCCGTGTCCGATACCAGCACACAACGCACCGTTGTGTTTGCACCACTGGCGATCGCGAACCACCTGCCGCCGATGACGGGCGACTGGGAAGCGCGGCTGTGGTGCCCGTACTGTGACGAGTACCTGTATTTCGACAGTGCCGAAGGGGACCAGACCAAGTACGCGCAGGACGAGCACGGCTTCCCGTCGCTCACAGACTTCCAGCTGCACCTGGAGTGGCACCACACGGCATTGCCCATACCGGCCATATCCATGCCAGCATTGCCTGCAGCGTCAAATAATTGTGTACTAATGTGAGGTGGATTTTGTGCCGTCTTCTCTCACCTTGCTTTGGTTCTTTTTAGTTCCTGTCTTGTTTCTGCTGGCTTCTTTTTTCTTCCTTTTTCTCTTCACCATCTCTCATGATCATGACAGCGTATGAGCGACAGCATTCTTTAGTCACTAGATTTCCGGATATTTGGAGCCTCGTCTCTTTTGATTCTATATTCAATTTATGTCTTGTGTCTTTCTTCTTTGCGACAGGAACTTTATTTCACTGTTAGGATTGCGACCCTCACTACCGCACGGCTCCTCTGACTCGTGGGGTCTCTCAATTTGACCTTTTATTTCAATTTTGCTTTTATTTCACGTGCATATACTGCCTCCTTCTCAACCGTAAAACGTAAATGCAACCACAGTCGGACGGAGTTTGTTCTTTTGCTCTCGCTTCCATATAATCTTACAGTGAACAATGTCCTCTCCATGTGCTCTGTGAACGTTGCAGAACACCCGCTTTTATTTTTATGTTTTATCATCACCACACCCAACATCCGCACGCCGCCTACATCGACCGCAGGTAGTTGCTCTCCTTGATCTTGGCCCGCCGCTCTTTGCGCATCGCCACCCGCAGCTCCTTGCGCTTGCCTGCCGCCGCCAGCGTGTCCTCCAGCTGCGTCGGCGCCGGCTGGCCCTCGGCCCGCTCCGCGCCCACCGGCAGGTTCACCGTCTGGTGCTGCAGGGGGATCTTGGGCGCCAGGGCCGTGAGGTCGCCCGTCGCCAGCACCTTGGCCTCGAGCTCGCGCTGCCGCCGCAGCGCCATGCGCCGCTGCTTTTTGCTCTTGGCTACAAGACAAGACGGTTAGACGCGGACGTTGTCCACATGTCGTTGGCCGCGCCATAGGAGGTACTTACAAAACTCATCGCCAGCGTCGGCGTCTTCGGTCGTGGCGGCCTTCTTCATGACATCAAGGCAGTTCCACAGCCACGACGGGTACTCCTCGTCCCGCAGGGCAACAGGGTCAGTCCGACCCTTGGTGTAGTTGAGGCCCACGAGCACGGTGCCTTCGGGGCATGACGACAGCGCCGCCGGGGCTGCATCCGCTTCGCCGGCTGGGGCGGATGGAGCGGCGGCGGCACCGTCTTGTGATGGTGTGTCGGCAGGGGCGGCGTTTTGAGAGGCGGCGGAGGTCGAGAAGAAGGAAGAGGAGAAGGAGGAAGACGATGTGGTGGGAGTGTGTAATGAGGAGGACGTTGCTGTCCGGCGTGATGCGACTGCAAAAGTCGAGGAAGAGCGAGCTGGTGCGGCCGCAGCCAGCGCTCGCCGCAGCAGGGCGGTCCGGCAGGCGTTCATTGTGTGTGCGGAGGGGTAATTGAGAGGGTATGGGCCGCGCCAAAGGCGATTGCTGTCGTCGTCGTCGTCGTCGTCGTCGATTGTTCGTAGCGTTTGGTCGCACAACGTGGTTAGCACTTGAGGCGCGAGAAAGCTCTTTTCTGCCCACAGGCCCCGTTTTTTTGGTAGGGGTCGGACGGGCCTGTAATTTTCGGCGTTCGCCCGTCTGTTAGACATGTTAGACACGAGCCGTCCATAGCCTCGTTCTGCACGTGATCAGCTATATCAAGAATACACCAGCATCATCAAATCACCACCAAAAGGATATAGACGTCGGTTGAACTTTGTTGAAAAAGAGCAATGGACTTGCAACACATCTCACCATCTCGTGGACAATTTTCTATGGCCTGTCTGCCAGCATTGTGCTTGTTTGCCTGTCATGTGCCAGCTCCCACCAAAAAAGCACCCAAAATGGACCAATCAGGTGCCTTCCGTTTTTGGGGAGGTCATCTGGGGCAGCTTTTTCTGAGACGAACTGCTTCACTATGGTTTACGTTGACGTCCAGACCTGCAGCATTGAGAGAGATGCACGCACTGCAACGGTGATAGACTGCATGTCCGGATTTTGGCTTTCAAAAAATTTGCATTTTGCGCAGTAGATATGTACATTGGGTCCGGTGGAGGGGCCTTGCCCTCACGGCCCATTTTCCCTTTCCTCACAACGCTCGTCACATGTCCCATATGTCATGCCAGGGCCTCCAGAACAAGCTGCCGTCGTCGTCGTATCAGATCGTAGCGTGCTCGTCTCGCCTCTCGGTGGATGTGGTCGTCGTGGCCCGTGGGCGCGGGTCTCATCCGCTCCTCCGAATCGTCTCCTGACCTCGCGGCGCTCTATTGCTTGTTCTCAAAGTAGTTTTGCTGCTCAAACAGGTAGCCCTTGACGCGGGCGGTCTTGAGCAGCTGCAGATACCGTTCTGTCAACGTGTCAGCATTGTTCAGCATTGTCTCGGTTCGCGCACCTCGAACCCGCTCCAAGTGTCCCAGATCTTCCAAACGCACCTCTCAGATGGCCGCATTTCTCCAGGTGGTTGACGCCCTCCCGGTAGTAGCATTTGCTCATCTCCTCCCGCACCAGCCGGCCCATCATGACCTGCACCCACTGCTCGCGGATGATGGCGTCCTGCGCCTGCTTTAAGCGCTTGGTGTCATCGTAGTCGACACCGTCAAAAGTCGGCGGCACCGTCGGCTTCTTGGCCAGGAACGAGGCCGACTCGGGGGTCGGCATTGTGGAATAGGAAAGAATGTGAGTATGCGAGTGCGGGTAGTGTAGGAGACAGTCGGTTGTTGCGTCGACCGGGACCGCGTGGTGCGTACTGCGTAGTAAAGTGGTGATGGTTGTCAGTCAATGGAGTTCGAGTCCCACGGCTCTAATTACGGGCCAAACATACAGCGCACCTAGAAGCCAATGGCGGGCGCCGCAAAGCCATAATTGATGCCTTGCAATCCAGGCCACAAGGAGCGCTGCGCCTGCCTCGTCGGCTCTCTCACCGCCTGGACCCACTTATGCCATGGCAAAGTGTCCGACCAACCACGCTAATTATTTTGCAGAGAATTTTGCCGCCCAAAAAAAAGTTTTTGCTGGATAGCAGTTTGGTCCCTGTGCAGGGAAGGCAGGCCCGGTCGGTCGCTCCTCCTCCCCAATCTCCCATATAACATCCTGCCTTTTTCACCAGTTTTTTTTCGTCCTCTCTCTCCCTCTCTCATCTCTCCTCCTACATCCCATACTTTATCTCCAAACCTCTTCTTTTTCCCCTGTATCCCCTCACCCATCTCTCCCATCACACACACACACTCATTCACAATGGGCAAGTCAAAGGAGACCAAGGTCAAGGCTGTTGCCGACCCGATCAAGAGCATCAAGAACGGCGGCGTCACCAAGCCGTCCAAGACGTCGGACGCCAAGTCTAAGAAGCTGGCAAAGGAGGTTGCCATCAAGGCCGTCAACGGCAAGAAGGAGAAGAAGGCCAAGAAGGTCGAGTCGGAGAGCGAGTCGGAGAGCGAGTCTGAGGACTCAGCCTCTAGCGGCTCCGACTCGGACTCGGACTCTGACTCCGAGTCGGAGGCTGAGGAGAAGCCCGCCGCCAAGGCCAAGGCCAACGGCAAGACGCCCGCCAAGAAGGAGGAGTCTGAGTCCGAGTCTGACTCGGATTCCGATGCCGACTCTGATTCTGACTCTGACGAGGAGGACGAAGACGAGGAGGAGGAGGAGGCGAAGCCCAAGGCCGAGAAGAAGGAGACCAAGGCTGACGTGAGTGACCCCAAGACATTGCTTTACCGACTCTTGCCTCCATACAGTATGCTAACAAACATTCTTGCAGTCCGACTCTGACTCTGGCTCCGATTCTGACTCGGATGACTCGGACGACTCGGACGAGAGCGATTCGGACGAGGAGGACGAGGAGGACGAGGAGACGACCGAGGAGCCCTCCAAGAAGCGCAAGGCGGACGACGAGGAGCCTGCCACCGCCAAGAAGGCCAAGACCGACGAGGTGGAGGGCGAGGCTGACGCGGCGCCCGAGGAGGGCAGCACCCTGTTCGCCGGCAACCTGGGCTGGAAGGTCGACGACAACCTGCTGTACGAGGAGTTCAAGGTCTGCGAGGGCCTGGTCAGCGCGCGCGTCATCACCGACCGCGAGATGCAGCGCTCGCGCGGCTTCGGCTACGTCGACTTTGACTCGGCCGCCAACGCCAAGGCTGCGTTTGAGAAGATGCAGGGCTACTTCATCGAGGGCCGCGAGCTCAAGCTCGACTTCTCCACGGCCCGCCCCAAGAACAACGACGGTGGCAACAGCAACGGCGCTGCCGACCGTGCCAAGAAGTACGGCGACACCATCAGCCCCGAGAGCGACACCCTGTTCGTTGGCAACCTGCCGTTCCACGCCGACGAGGACACCGTCTCTGCCTTCTTCTCCGACGTCGCCAACGTCAAGAGCCTGCGTCTGCCCACGGACATGTAAGAACAACACCCACCACTGCTCCGCCCGCGCGTCATTTTTGAATGCGTACTAACAACTGCTTTTTCAGGGAGTCTGGCCGCCCCAAGGGATTCGGCTACGTCTCGTTCTACTCGATTGACGATGCCAAGAAGGCTTTCGAGCAGCTCAACGGCCAGGACTGCGCCGGCCGCAACGTCCGTCTGGACTACTCCACCCCCAAGCCCCGCAACGACTTTGGTGGCGGACGCGGCGGTGGTCGTGGTGGCTTTGGTGGTCGCGGCGGTGGTCGCGGTGGTTTCGGTGACCGCGGTGGCCGCGGTGGCGGCCGCGGCGGCGGTCGTGGTGGTTTCGGCGGCGGCCGCGGCGGTAGCAGCGGCTTCCAGGGCAAGAAGACGACCTTCTAAGCGTGGACGGATACCGTTGCGTTTGGGGGATGAGGACAAGGTGGACTGCCTGTCTGCCTTCCGTCTCTTTTCCCACTTCTTCCCATTTTGCGACATAGCATAGCGGCTTCACTTTCCCGAGGGATCGTTCGGATTTTCTGCGCACACACATATGTTGGGTATTGGCTAGGTTGGCTGTCGGTCTGGCTTTCTGTTCGGTATCCTCCCTTTCAAGGGGGTGGACTGAACAGAAACGTCAGAGGCTCGTGAGAGAGGGTTTCGTGGGATTCCTTTTTTGGGGATGTCCCACGTCGCCGCGATACAACTGAGGGCTCGATCCGAAACGCTGTGGGCTTTGAAATTGTTTCCATTTTCCCATCCTTTGTGGATGCTGGTTAGGAAACACGATGACCTGATGACTGGTTTTTGGCTCTGCTTGGCTCCTGCTGGCTCCTACTTGTTGCTACCAAGGAAGAAGAAAGAAAAGAAACAAAAGACAAAAAAGCTCGCCGGGGAGAGGAGAGAACGTCTCTCTCCCGGAAATGAGAGGGAACGGTGCCACGATTAGTACAACAAAAATGGTGATGGGTTCATATGGCAAAGTTTCTTATTCTTTTCTTTTTCGTCTTGTGGGCAATATTTCATTTTGATTGTTTGCGTGTATTTCTGTGGGCTTCTGTGGGCTTCTTACTTTTTCATGACTTTTACTGCATACTGGGGGTCTCTCCTGACGGCTCTACGATCCACCTCCCGTGCTTCTCTTCTGTATGGGAGGTGGGTTGTATCAAAAGAGGTACTTGTTTCTGTTCCGGGGCATTGCAGGTCTGGTCTTCTTCGGACGGCAGAACTGCCTGAGGCGATGAGGGCTGGTTTGGGATGCGCAATGCATCTTGTCGCAGCCTTTCATTCATCTCGATTTCGTGGGCTGGCAAGGCATTGGGGATTTACAAAAAGAGGGCCGTCGCCGGTGTCTCTTCGAGTCGATTTGACATGTCGCGCTGGTAAGTACACAAATGCAAAAGAAAAAAAAAAGAAACAAAGAAACGTCTTTCCCTCTCCCTGTTTTCCATATCTCGCGTTCCCCCTTTTTCCATTGTAATACCCTCATAGAAGAAAGACAAGAAAGCCGCAGAGACGCATTGGCGTTCAGGTCATAAAAGTTAATTTATTCATTGCTGCCTTGAAAACACGTCGTCCATGATGCTCAACTTCGGTGTGACCATGTATGAATTTCGTGAATATCGCCGTCGTTGCAGCCTTGACGTTGACCCCATCTGACTGACCTTGCTATATGTATTTTTCTTGATCATGCGGATGTAAAAATCTCATTCTTTTTTATGTCTTTTTATTTGATTTTAATAGGTAAAATGATTTTAAATAATTAAATCGAGAACAATAAAATCCGGAATAAATAATTCGTGTACTTGACAACCAAACAATTTCTTTTCAAATAGCTGTTACTTATAGATTTACCTCGACATTCGCTCCAACATTGACATGCCTCTCTTACCAGGCTGTGCTTCCAAGTTCCCCTCACCATCCAACTTGAACCGTGACCGTACTCTCCTCACCAGGCGCAACGACGATTAGCTCACAGCTGGCTGACGGTCACGTTCAACTGTCTTCCTTGTACACTGACACTGAGGGGGCGCGTTGGATGTCTCGGCGCGCCTTAGAAGCGCTTTGGTTCTCAACTGTCACGATGAGAGTGTCCGTCTCTTTGATGCAGGATGCAATTACCGAGATGCCCAGAGTGCAACAAAGAAACGCTCGTGCACCACTGAACCGTCCACCGCAGGGTGACAAGCGTGATCGACATGCGACGACGCCCGCCTACTGGTTTAGTGCTACTAAACGTATGAAAAGAAACGAGATTGGCAGAACTGACAGTGACAACTGGAGATAGACCGTTGTTATCTCCCCGCTCCGGAAGGCGGTCAGCCACTGCCCAGCCATTGCCCTCGTGCTCTCACGCCTAAATTGCGCCTCACTAGTCGTCGTCCCTCTCTTCTGACGTAGCAGAACCCCTATTGTCTGTTGGGCGCGCGTAAATGGTGTGGAGTGAACGATCGCGGCCGTTTTGGCTGTCTTGGCCTCCCTGTCCTTCTTTCTGTCTTTGTGTCTTTGCCATCTTCATAGTCCTTCCTTCTTTTCCTTCCGCTCTTGCCGTTGCAACTGTTGTTTCTCCTTCCGTTCTTTCCTGGTTTCGCACCGCATCTCAGATCAGCAAGTGGGCAGTTGCCAAAACCGTCCAACTCCACACCGGCACAGCACCTTGCTGTTCGCGCCTTCCCTGCCTTTCAGCTTGGCCTGCCCCTCCCTCGCGCTTGCCTCCGAAGACGCTGCTCACTTCCATTTCCATTCCAAAGAGTTCCTGCCACGAAAGGCAACCAGACCAATACCGGGACCGGGTCACGAACCCATTTGGCAGGACAGCGAACAAACTGTGCGGGGTTCACGCCAGCGACTCTTACAGAGCACCAAAGGAACAAAAGGCCCCCAAGGCCCCCAAAGCTTATTGCGACGGATTCATCTGGAACAACACAGTGAGCCGGACAGTCGCATTTCGTTCAAAGAGGACTCGTACAAACACTCCACGGCGTCGTGTCTCTTTTGTCTCTCCGTCGTTCTCCTCGCTCACCGAGTCGCTCTTTCCGTTTTCGTCACCATTTACCGATTTATACGACTCTTGCCGTTCTTGACAGCACAGACTTGCGCCTTCCCATCCCACATTTTGTTGGACCAGTGAGCCCCGTGCCAACAATACCAAGTTTACTGCGCGCGCAGGGCGTTTCAGGCTCAGGGTGCCTCTTTCCGCCCCACGCCAACACACACCCAACGCGCGCCTGCCCTTTTCTCCATCTGTCACGATCTGGGTCCCGTGAGACTTTGGTCATTTTCCACTTGAACATTTTCTGCCACATAGACACATCTACACATTTCCAGCTTCTCCGACGACTCTTTTCTTCTACTACAACGTACGCGCCATCGCCACATCGCCCCCCCTGTCGCTAAATCGGATCCACTATGGCGCCGCCAACGCAAAGGGACCCTCTCTGGCCCGCTGACGGCCCATCAACTAACACGATGCACGTCTCCACGTCCGCCGCCAACAGCCACATGGCCAGCACGGTCGAGTCCTGGGTCGAAGTCGCTTCGCAGCCGTCGTCCTCGTCGCTGTCGTCCATCGCCGACGAGATTGTCATCACCGGCCTGCGCGTTGGCAGCGGCGCGACCGGCATCAACGGCGGCGCCATGCCCGCGACGCCCCAGCGGCGACGGCGTCTTCTGCAGCAGGTCGAGGCCGCGGGCGGTCCTTTGTCGCCCTCGTCCTCGCCCTCGTCGACACGACCGCCCACGTCACACCCGACCACGCATCCTACGTCGTCGCCGTCAAACACCGCCGCCGCCACCGCTGCTGCCCCCCGTAGTTTGGCCGGCAGCAGCCAGGAGGAGTACGACGAGACCGAAAGCGAAGAAGACCGCGTCCTGTCCAGCTCGGCCGAAAACCTCGAGCTGGGCCTCGACGCCGGCCGCCCACCGGCCCAGAGCTACGCGCTGCTCCAGTACCAGGCAGCAGCCGACGCCCGTCTGCGCCAGAGGGCGGCCGCCAGCGACGGCGACGATGAGGAAGACGGCGACGGCGACGGCGACGGCGACAACGACGACGACGACGAAGGTACGGCCCTCGGTATGCCTTCGTCTGGCCCGCCCACCTTCCGGCCGCAGCCCAACGCCTTCTCGCATCCGCCCACCCACCTCCAGCACCCGTCGTCGCACCGCTCGCTGCCCACGCCCCGTTTGTCGCAGATGCCGCCGCACATGGCAGCTGGCGACGGGCCCTATGCACCATATGCACCACGGTCGTCGCGGCCCGCACGCAACTCGGCACCCAGCTTCATGTCCCCGGCCTACCGCGAGGACAACGATGCGGCTCTGCGCGCGTCGCTGACCACGCTGCTGTCGTGCGCAGCGGCGGCACGGCGTCTGCCCAAGGCGGAGAGCAGCAGTGTTCGAACGGGCGGGGCGCCGTCGGCATCGACGACGACAGCGACGGCAGCGACGGCAGCGACGGCGACAACAACCACAACGGCCAACGCTGGCCTGTGCCCGAGCAACCAGCTGATGGGCCTGCGTCTCGTGCCCGAGTCTGAGCTGATGGGCGACGACCACGACGCGAACGACGATGCCTCCGTGTCGCCACGCACCCGTACGCCGTTCTCGCGCCCGTCTGCCGCCGCGGCCCCTGTCAAACAACAGCACCAACACCACTCGTCCCGCAACGGCGCTGTCAGCGCTGTCAGCGCCGTCTCTGCGTCCAGCAAGAGCAAACGTATCGGCGCCAGCAAGGCGTCCCCGCGCGTCACCAAGAAGAAGCGCACCTCGTCCTCGTCGGCCGCCGCCGCCGCCGCTACGAACGACGCCGCTGCCGACGTCACTATGATCAGCCCGACGCTGCTGACCTGGGTCGTCAGTGCCGGCGTTGTTGTTCTTGTGTCGGTGGTCGGCTTCGGCGCCGGGTTTGTCATTGGCCGCGAGGTCGGGCGCCAAGAGGCCGCGGCGGCGGCGTCGGCGGCGGCGTCGTCGTCGTCGTCGTCGCTGGCCATGGCATCCGCTGCCAACGGCTCCGCGTCTGCGTCGACCGCCTGCGGCCGCGAGATTATGCGCTCGTCGACGGGCAGCACGCTGCGGCGCTTCCGGTGGGGCGAGATGACCAAGAGCGTGGCGGCATGATACAAGGCGAGAGAGGGACCTATGACAGTCGCGATAGGCGGTTTTGGTGACGGCATTTTGGCATATGCTCTATATTTATTCAGCGTCTTTTTCTTCTTCGTTTACCCCCCTTCCATTTTCTTGCGGCTGGTCTTTTATTCGTCTTGTATCTCTCGCCTTTTTCTCTTTGACTTGTCTTCTTTCTTCTGCGCTTTTCGCCTTTCGGTTATGCTCTTGCAGTCACGGTCAACGGTTATCATGGGTTATGCATTTACGACCAAGAAACAGAAATTGGGACACACTGCTTTCTACTATTTCCTCTACCACGGCAATACATTCTGGATTACAGTTTTTGAATGATTTTGTGTGAACAGCCTGACTGCTTTCTTGTTAACTTCCGCGTGGTACGTGGGTCTCCGGCATGAAGACAAACGCAGTCTAGTCAGTCCACATGTGGACAGTTTAAGCCGACGCCACATCCTCAACTGCTGTACTGCAACCTGCATTCCATGTTCCTCTCATCACTTGCCTCCACAACTTGACTCGGCATGATTTGCAACGAAACTGTCCATCAACGCAATACCCCTTTCGAAGGAGACTGTGTGCAATATTCTGTCTATCTGGAGAAATGATTGAACAACAGGACAGACAGCTCGAACGATTGGAAAGACAGCTCGCATCGTCCGTACCATACAGAAACAGACCGCACTCAAAGTCAACGTTGACATCGTCAACACATCCAGGCGATTTGTATTGACACTGGTTTAGACACCCTCACCTATTGCGCTGTAGCTCAGAGCTTGCCCTGCAATAATGCGGGGCGGTAAGCTTCGCCCAGTGCTGGTGCTCTCCTCATTGGGAAAAGCGGACCGGATGCATCACGTGCTGGGCTTCAGTGGCGGGACACTGTTCGTGGTTAGACTGGCCAGCCTCCTTCCGTCCCTGCTGCAATTCTTCTGCGTCGGTAGGAGCTACCCACCAACCACGCACCGTTCCTGCCCTTTTCTCTTTTCTCAGGACCTTCCTTTCGGGCCAGCCGCCAAAACGTGCAAAAATCCTCACAGCTTTCTCCTCCCACTTTTTCTTGCTTCTTCTCACTTTCTCTTTTCTTTCGACCTCATTCTCACCACCTCCGACCTCTCTGCCTCACCTTTCTACATCTACTCCTTCCTCGTCCTCCTCTCCCTCTTCTCGCAATTCATTCCCCTCCCTTGATTCTCTCGCACGCGCACCGCATCACGGCACACATTTGCCTCCTCTTTTCTCTCACTTTTCTACCTCTCTGCCACTCTTCTACCTCCAACTGACCTCTATCTCTCCGCGCCACGCACGTTCTCTATATCGCCTCTCCTGCTGGCCTCTTACCCTCGTTTTGACGACTGGTTGACACGCTGGTGCCTGGCTCTATCAATTGCTTCTTTTGCTTCTCGTACTTGTGTCGTGAACCGCCCGCGATCATGTCGGACTTTTTAGGGTATGGCTTCACGTTCTGCTCGAGCACACAACAACCTGATACAGCTGCTAACATGCTGCTTCTCGCTTCATAGAGCCCGTATCTCCCTCATTTCCAAGAGTGACATTCGGTACTCTGGCATTCTGCACAGCATCAGCTCAGAGGACTCGACCGTTTCGCTCGAAAATGTCGTCTCGTACGGCACGGAAGGCCGCAAAGGCAAACCCGAAGACGAGATTGCACCCGCCGACCAGGTCTACGAGTACATTGTGTTCCGTGGCACCGATGTGAAGGACCTCCGTATCGAGGATGGTAACTCTGCACCGCCCGCCCAGGTGCCAAACGACCCAGCGATCCTTGGTGTAGGTTTTTTTTTTTGACTTGACATTGCTTCCCATGCTCAAAGCACCTGCCAAGGGGACGACGGCCTTTATGATGAAACATTTTCGGATGAAAAACATACTTGTCTGAATTGCGCAAACAACCCCATGTTGATATTTCCGTTGCCTTCCTTCTGATCCGGCGAAACGCCCCTTGGCCATGCTTTGCTATTGTCTACTTTTTTCTTATTTTTGTGTTTGAAAACACAGTTGCTGACAGCTGCGTCTTCGGATGCGTTTTGTGGCTAGGCTCGTCCTCGTCCTGTGAACAATGGCGCACAACAGTACCAACAGGGTCCGCCCCAAGGCGCCCCCCAAGGCCCCCCCCAAGGCCCTCCCCAAGGACCGCCGCGCGGCCCACCACCACAAGGCTTCGTTCCCAACATGCCTGCCCCCCCTGGTGGCTGGGGTCCCAATGGCCCGCCTCCGGGAAACCCCCCATACCCACCGCCTCCCGGATGGTACCCTCCACAAGGACCTGGTTTCGGCCCTGGCGGCCCTCAGTGGAACAACAACTTCTACCCGGACCCGCCCCAGTTTGCCCCTGGACCCAACGGCCCACCTGGTCCCAACGGCCCCCCCAGCGGTCCTCGCGCTCCTGGCGCTCCTGGCGCTCCTGGCCGCTCTCCGCAGCCGCAGCAGCCTGCTGCAGGTGGCCCGGCACCTCCTACCCATGCTGAGAAGCCCAAAGGCCCTACCCCTGGTCCTGCGGAGCTGGAGCCGAAGTCGTTAGGCCAGCCACCCTCTGCTGCCAGCAGAGGTGCTCCGACTGGCCCGAGCGCCGACGTCCGCAAGGCGGTTCCGCCAACTGCACCCGTCGAGGCCCCTGCTGGCCCCGTGCCTACTGGCCCCAAGAATGCGACTCGGATAGCCCCGATTGTCCCGCTCCCCGCTGGCCTGGTGAACAAGACGACGACGCAAACGACGACTGCAGCTGCTGTGTCCACCAAAACCACAGAGTCGGCACCAGGGGCGTCGATTCAGTCTGCAACAGAGGCTGCCAAGGCCGCCGTCGCCAGAGCCATGGCTGGTCTTGGCTCCGCTCAACCGCCGCAGGCCAGCCCTGCTGCTGCTGCCGGCGGATCGTCGGCTCTGGACAACCTGACGCGCAAGGTCGACGAGATGCGCATGAATGCTGCTGCCCAGGCAAACCAGGGCAGCTACAACAACAACACGAGCGGCCATTACAGCAACCAGAACAACTACAATACCAGCCACCACAACTACAACAACAACCAGTACAGAGGACGCGGCCGTGGCGGTCACTACAGCGGTCCCCGCACGGCCAAGGTGGAGGTGCCGGATGCGGAGTTTGACTTCGCCTCGGCCAACGCCAAGTTCAACAAAGACGACGTGGTCAAGGAGGCCATTGCTGGCGGCAACTTTGAGGCGGACGTGAATGCCGCTGCCACGACCGGTGTCTCGAGCGGGCAAGCATCGGAATCGGGCGCCCCGGCCGATACGGAGGGGGGCGACGCGCCCGTGGCGTACAGCAAAACAAAGTCGTTCTTTGACAACATATCGAGTGAGGCCAAAGACCGTGCTGCTGCGGCCAGCAGCAACAGTGGCCGTCCGGGCGGTCCCCAGTGGCGGGGCGAAGAGCAGCGCAAGAACGTCGAGACGTTCGGTCAGGGCAGCGTCGACGGCGGCTACCGCAACAACTACCGGGGTCGTGGCCGTGGCCGTGGCCGTGGTGGCTACAACCGGGGCCGTGGTGGTAACAACAGCGGCTACCGCCGGAACAATGACTACAACAACCAGCAGCAACAGCCTCAGCCTCAGCAGTAGCAGCAGTAAGGCTGCTGCTCCTTGTTCGGTGCTGTTCATATTGCTTTTCATTTGAGTCCTCGTTTTCTTTTTTTCTTCTTTTTTTTTCATATCGTCACACACTCCAATTCCCACATTTACTGTATCGGGATCGGATCGGATCGGATAGCCAACGACTTGGCTCGTTCTGTATTTCTTTTGCGCGTTTTTGCGTTCCTCGCGTCATTGTTCTTTTGTCATTTCATGGTTTCTGGGGTCTTGCGGTTTCTCACGATTCCCTCTTTGTACGACTATCATTGCAACGTTTCACTGGGAAACTGGCAGGGGCAGGCTGTGGGCAAGGCAAGGCGGATAGGAAGGTCTTTCTATTGTATGGAACGGCTGCTGTTTGATGACGTGGAGAGTGAAACGACAAAAACACATGAAGCGATCGGGCGTCCTATTTTGTCCTTGTTTGATTTTACCCCTTTTTTTGTTTTCTCTATATCTTCAAAGCCTTGCGTCTCGCGGGGGATGAAATAAGGAGTTTCTTGATTTCTTTTTCTCGTCCTTTGGCAACAGCAACTATATGATACCAACACTCAACGACAAATAATTAAAAAAATGGAGAAAAAGCACAGATTGTGACTTTTTTCATATACACATTCGCTGTCTATAAGACGTGATTCCACGGTTCGAAACGAGGCGTCGAGGCTATCTCTTGGTGATGTCTCTCTGCATGGATGCAGTTTTTGCCGCTGTCTAAGAAAAGTACAACAAAAGCAACGCTCCTATTCTTCGTCTGATCCTTCAGACCACGAGTCGTAGACAACCAACTTGGGTTTTCCGTCCGACGGCAACGAGCCTGCGCTGCCGAGGCCGTGGAGCAGGTCCGGGAGGCTGCCGGCCGCCGCCTCCTCCTCCTCCTCTGCACTCTCGTCCTCCTCGTCGCTGCTGTCTGACCCGCTACTGCTGGTCTCGCTCTCGAGCTCGGCAGCCGCGGGGGCAGCCGCAGCAGATCCGGTTTCGTCGCCGGCGCCGTCCTCCGCTTCGGCCGTCTTTCGTTTCTTTGCCGCAAGCGTGTCCGAGCCACCGCCGTTCTGCCGCCGCTTGAGACGTCCATTGGGCGTCTTGCCGTGCCGCCCGGCGTGGGGTGGCGGCGGCGGCGATGGAGCAGCACGCGGCCGCCGTTCCGTCGAACCCAGGACATGGCCAGGAGGCAAACGCACGGCGCCGTTCTTTGGCAGCACGTAGATTGTCGGGAACTCGAGGACGGAGCGACCGGGCAGCGCCGTGGCCAGCGTGTCCGTCGCGTCGAGCGGGATCAATTCCTTGGCCTGGGCGTGGTGGGCGACGCCCGAGACGCGCGGTCGCAGCAGATAGTAGCGGAAACTGGTCCGGGCGGCGCGCTGTGCTGGGTCGTCGCGGGGCTCTGCGTCGGTGCCGCTCTGGAGTGTGCGCGTGCTCCACGATGCGGTTGCTGGGATCTGCACATCGCATCGGTAGAAGAAGGAGTTGTGGAATGGGGCTGTTGGTGCCGGTGCAGACGTCTTGGTTTGCTGTTGCTGTTGCTGTTGCTGCTTCTGTTGTTTCGTCTGTTTCTTGGAGGGAGACGGACCAGCCGCCTCGCCGTCGCCGCGGGTGTCCATGGTGTCGTTGTCGTCGCCGTCGCCGCTGTCCTCCGCCTCCTCGACCCCGCCAATCTCGCTCACCAACCCCCCGCCCAGTTTCTCTTGTTTCTTCCGTTCTGCCGTCTGGAGGGCAGCATACGCCCGGTACAAGGGCAGGTCGTCGAGCACGCGCCGCAGCACCCGCGTTGGTGGTGCCGCCTCGCTGCTCGTGTACACCAGCCACTCCACCTGCCAGTGCAGGTGCACCTGGGTCACGCGTCCGCCGTCTTTGCTTGTCGCTGTTGCCGTCGCCACCGTTGTGTGGTTTTCCCGCTGCCGTGCAAACCCGCGCGGGGCGCCCAGCAGCGCAATGCCGTCGCGGCGGCACATGCTACGCACGCGGTGGCTCGTGGCGGCTTCGTAGACGGGTATGCGTGGTGCGGCTGATGCGTTTGGTTTCGCTGCCGTATCGTCATTGTCGTCGTCGTCGTCGGCATTGTCGTCGTCGGCATCGTCGTCGCTGTCGTCGTGTTGTGTTGCAGCCGCAGCCGCAGCCGCCGCAGCTGCTGCCGCACCCGTCAGTCGTGGCCGCGCCGGCAGGTAGACCACCTCCTCGCCGTCCCACTGCTTCACGAGTGCCGGTCCACTGTGCTGCGTCCGGTGGCCCTTCTTGCCGTGGGACGTCTTGTTGTTGTTGTTGTTGTTGTCGCCGGCCGTGCCGTCTTCGTTGAGCACGCGCGCCCGCACATCGTTCGCCCGCAGCACGCGCCGCTCGTCGACGACGTGCTTGACGGCGCTGTTGCGGGCGACGTCGATGCCCTGCAGGAAGTTGTAGTCGCGGTCGATGCCCGCGGCCGTGCAGAGCCGTGCCCGCGGCACAAATGTGGTGACGTCGCGGATGCCGCTGCAGCCAGCACGGGCGCGATGCCGGCGGTTGCACGGGACGGAGCAGTACGGGAGGTTGCAGCGCGGGCACTTGTAGCGCGGCGGGTTTGTGCGGCAGACGCTGCAGAGCGTTGTGAGCAGCGGGTCGGCGGACGCCATCGCGGCGGTGGGAGTTGTCGTGGGGAGAAGAGCCGCTGCAAAAGTACAAGACGTCAAAATGAAGGGTGTCGTGATGTGTTTGTTTTGTGGCGTTTTGCGAAAGAAGGAGCGATGGCGCTGATAACGGGGAAAACAGTGGAAGGAACGGCAGAAAAAAAGTTTTAGGGGAGGAAGGAGCAAACAGCAACGTTATCGCGATAAGATAAGCAGAGCTAACGACATTCGGGCAAGTCCCTGCAATCCGTCGTATTAGTGCCCAGTTCGTTCAGTGGATCTTCGTGTAAGTGATTTTCAAGTATTTCGTACATCCGTCACAAACAAATTTTGTTTACAAGCAGTACGGAAAAACAGTCAGTCGTGGTCTACCGATTACATTTTCACAAAGTATCTTACTATAAGGCTGTTTACACCGTCTTCACCTGAAAAATATCGTCTTTTCAACAGCCGCAAACTATCATTCGAGTCCGAATGCGCACCCCAAAAGAATACAAATAAGAAAGAGGAGCTGACTGCGAACAACTGTGCAGAGAACAATAAAATAACAAATGAACAAACGAAGAAACGAAGAAACGTTCGGGGTACTCCTTTCCCAGGTAGTACTCTCCAGAAGAGCAGCAAGATGGAAATAATGTATCATAAGGAACGACGAGAAGAAAAGAGGTAAACAACAGAGGAAACACTACAACAAGAGATATCGAGGGTTGTGCAAAGACAAGAGCAACAACGAAACAGACAAGGAAGCAGAGAAAGTAAAAGCAAGGAGATATCAACGCCAGTGTGCTCAAGGACGGGGTCGGAACTGCAACCCAACAAATACAGAATAGACAAAGGAGCGAAGCGAGACGACGGAACGGGATCGGGCTCGAACGGTGCTGTTGTCCGTTTCTTTTTGTACCCCCACCCCTATATGCAAATCACATCAAAAGGGGTGGGGTCAGGAAGGGGGGTAGCATCACAAAGCTACCATCCCCAGCCGCGCCGATCTTTCAGTCATCTCGTGCCGCCGAGGGCGCTGATGCGCGCACCCGAGGGGCGGTGGATCAGGCTCTCGGCGTGCTTGCCGACAATGCCCGCGTCGGGCATGGTCTCGACGTCGCTGCGCTCGGCATACTCGTCCTCCTCGTCCTCGACAATCTTGGTGGGGATGTCGTGGCCCACGACGTACTGCTGCGACGAGCGCTCCGGCGTGGTGGCCGTCGAGGCAATCGACATGGACGTGCTGGCCCGGTTGGGGATCAGGTCCGGCGTGGGCGGGATGCTAGACGAGCGGCCCGACGCCGGGTGCAGGAGGCTGTCGTCGCCCACGTCCGACGCCGAGGCCGAGTGGCCGTCGTCGCTGTGGGTCGTCGCCGTGGACAGGTTGCTGGTGCGGCGCAGGCGCTGGGCCGAGGCAGTGCGGCGCTGGCGCGCCTCGCTGTCGGACGACGACTCCACGGCGTCCTGGGCCAGCTGCAGGCCCTCGACGGCCGCCTGGCACTGCTCCGCAATGTTGCGGATGATGTGGGCAATGGCATCCGTCTTGTCCTTGAGGTGGCGGTCGGCCACGTCCTTGAAGCTCGAGGACGAGTAGCGCTTGCTGGCGCGGGCCTGCGCCTTGAGCCGCTGGGCGGCCTCAATCTCCTCGGGCGTGCTGCCCTCCAGCGCCATGGCGGCGGCGGCCTCCTCGTCCTCCTCGGCAAAGCCGCTCTCGAGCTCGTCGATGATCTCGTCGGGCTTGGTGAGCGACTCGATGAGGTGCTCCATGTGGTGGCTCTGGCCGCCAATGAGGCTGCGCAGGTGCAGCACGACGCGGCGGGCCTCGTCGCGCTGGCGGGCCAGGGTGACGTTGGTGTGCTGCAGGGCCGACAGGTCCTTGATGTTGCGCTTGCGCTCGCGCTCGAGCTCCTCGGCAATCTCCTGCTGCAGCACCAGGGCCTCGAGGGCGTCGTCGCGCTGCTTCTCGGTGCCGGTGAGGCGGACCGACAGGCGGGCGTTGTCGTCCTTTTGCTGGTCAATGAGACCGTTGAGGCGGCGGTTCTCGCGCTTGTGGTTCTCAATCTTCATCTTGAGGTCCTGGGTCTCCTTGGTGAGCTGCTCCGCAAAGGCCTGGAACTTGAGGAACTGCTGCTTCCAGCTCTCGAGCTCCTCGACCAGGTAGTTGTTGCGCTTGGTGACTTTGGCGAGCTCCGTGTCCATGCGGCCCTTGAGGTTGATAAAGTCCTGCCAGGCCTCGAGGGCATCGCGCGAGTACTGGTTGCGCTCGCGGACAATCTCGTTGAGGTGGCGCATCGAGACCTTGGTCATGAGTGGCTTCTTGACGGAGCCGCCGAAGACGGCCTTGATGCCCGAGTTGCGGCCCATCTTCTCGCAGACGTGGTCCATGACGGCCATGACCGAGTCCTGCGCCCACCACTCGGGGTCCTGGATGGACTCGACCTCGCCGCGCATGACAATGATCTGGCCGGCCGGGACCAGCTTGCCGCCGCCGTAGGCAGAGCGCAGGTGCTGGGGCACGCCCGAGGGCGTGACGTCGCCGCTGAGCGACTGCGTCAGGCGCTGCACAAACTTGTTGCGCTGGCCAGGGGTGAGCGCGGTGGGCGGGCTCGAGGTCAGCACAAAGTTGCGGTCGAGGTCGACGACCAGGGCATCGGTGGGCGCCGTGAAAAGCGTGCGGCACTCGGCGGTGATGCCCAGGATGTACGGGCCCGGCTCCTGGACCAGCTCCTTGGCGTGGCGGGCGTGCACGACAGGCACGTACAGGCCGCTCCACTCGTAGACGCGGACGCAGTAGCGAACGGTCTCGGCGGCCATGGTGAGCATGGCCGGGTAGTGGGAGACAAAGATGATGCGGCGGGTGGGGGAGACGGCGGCCTCGATGACACCGACAATGTTGGGGATGGACAGGCAGCAGAACAGGGGCCACATGGAGAAGTTCTGGAAGCCGGTGGGCGAGGAGGGGAACTGGTAGCACAGGGCGTAGTCCTTCATGTCGATGCGGACGAGGTCGTTGAGGCGGGGTGCCGGGAAGCTCAGGATGCGGGAGACCTCCTCGGCGTGGAACAGGTTGGTGGCCTTGTTCCAGTGGATCCACATGCCGCGGAGGTAGTCGCCCAGCAGGTTGTAGAGCGGGTAGCGGGAGAGGAACGACAGGCAGTAGGGGATCCAGTAGGTCTCGTCAACATTGTCGTAAAAGTCGGGCTCGGTGCGCTTGCGCAGGTCGCGGATGGTCTCGGCACGCTTCTCGTCGGCGCGGGACCAGACGCGCAGGCAAATGCCGTAGAGCGTGTGCGAGGAGTCCTGCTGCAGGACAAACGCATGGTGGACGCAGTGCGGCTGGCTGCGGCCGGTGCAAATCTCGACATCATGAGGGAAGCAGGCCTGGGACGTTGTTAGAACCATTTTCAACGTGACACATAGATAGCACTCCAAAACAAAATACAACAATGGCCCGCCGTCACTTTGTTGTACTCACCCGCATGGCGGCGTGCAGCGAACGGGCAATCTCATTGTCCTGCTCCAGACGCGGGCTGCTGCCGAGAATCTCGGGCAGCCAGAACTGGCCGACGGCACCCTTCATGTGGCCAATCTTGCCCTGAGCGGGGGCCGGAGCCTTGACCCATTGCGAGGGCTCACGGCCGACGCCGCAGACCATGTAGGCATGGGTGAGGGTCTTGGGCGTGCGCTGCTGGGGCTTGGCGGAGAGCGTAGACGGAATGGGCTGGGTGATGCGGGAGTGCAGCGAGGAGGTGCGGCTGGGGATGATGAGGTTGTTGTCGCCCTGGTCGCGGGTGCTGGGACGGGCGTCGCGGTCGCCGGTGCGCGGCCGGGTGAAGGACGAGTGGGCGTTGAGGGAGGGCGCCATTGTGTCGTCGGCTTTTTTGTGTGATTTTGAAATATTTTGCTGAGTGAATTGGCGAATGAAAGATGGCCCGACAGCCGTTCAAAAGGGTTGCCGTGTTAGGAGTCAACCAACAGGCTAAAATGAAGGGAGAGAAAAACAAAAAGAGGGCGAGAGAATGGGATGGATAATTTCAAGAGAATATAAAATAAAAAAAGAGTAGTTTTCAGAGCGGCCGAGACGCGTCAAGCTCTTGTTTCTCGCTTCTTTCAACTCTCGTAGTCAAGGCACAGCAAGACTTATCTTTGTTCCGGATGAGTGAGCAAGGGCAACAAAAGAGGGAATGTAAACAACAAGGAGGAGGAAGAAAATGAAAAGAAATAATACGAATAGGTCGACCGTTGCAGGAGCACACACAACACACACACGACTGGATGAAGGTGGTGATACTGCCCTGGAGGGTTAGTAGGGGAAGAGAAGAGGAAAGGAGGTGGGAAGAGAGAAGAAAAGAAGTAGGAGGGGACGGGGACGAAGAGGAAAAGAGGAACAGGAGAGTGAAAAGGAAAGTTGAAATGAGACAAGCAGCCCTGTATGTTGTAATACTCGGTAGACAGCGAGCTGTGAGCGGACGAGGGACGAGAGACGAAAGACGAAAAAAAGAGGCCCAGACCAGAAAGGGAAAAAGGCAGGCAGGCAAAGGTCCCCGGGGTCAGGTCGAGGGAAGATTAAGTGACTAGGGTGGTGTGGGCACAGGTCAAAAAGAGGAAAAGAGGCTCTCATCGGCGGGGAGTGGATGTGAGGGAGAGGAAGTGGGAGGAAGTGGTGTGGGTTGGCGAGGCCAGCTGGGGTGAGTGCGGGAGTGCGGTAGAGCAGGAGGCTGGAGGCTGGAGGCTGGCATGCGTCGGCGTGCAGTTCTCTCCTGTCGATCAACAGGGCTCAGCGGGCAGTTGCAAGTCTCCCAGCGGTCGACTCCCTAGGCCGTATTCTGTAGACTCAGAAGACAGCCAAGCCAAGCAGGAAAGCATCGAAACACGCTGGTAGCGGCATCCTCTCGAGAGAATGAATCAAGCTCCAGGTTCCAGGCCGACTTGATGCTTGATGCTTGCTGCTTGCTGCTTGCCGTGCTAAAGGATTTTCAAGCAGCTTTCCAGTGGCATTGAATTTTGCGGCTTGTTTGGGGCAAAACGCTCGAGCCTCAGCGACACTGCTGCATGACGGAACTGGAATAGCTAGAAGCAATTACTCCGTAGAAGTAATAGCGTGTCCAGGCAACGTACTGCAAAAAGGACCAGATCAATGCTCATGACGAGGACAGCATACTGGAGAGGCATGCAGCCGATGTAGCCGTCTGCTCCTCAGATGGTTTCTAGGCTTCAGGGGAAGCAGAGCCTATCAATATCAGCATGGCGAGTCAATAGTGCGGATGTCTCAGTGCGTGTGATGCTTGTGAGGCAATTCGTGGACTTTATGAGTCCAAGCAAACCCAGGTGCTTTGCAAGGCCAGACCATGACGGAAGACGCAGCACGTTCCCACCACACGTCTCGATGCCCATCCATCAGAGGCAACAGGCCCGCGCGCGACGACCAATCGAGCAGGGAATGAAACATTGAACGGGTGTTGGGAAATAAGATGGCCAAGGTGGGCACCATGTGCCACTGGGTGGTCCTTGGATGGCACAGTGCCAGTGCCCAAGACGCGAGGTCAGGCTCTTTTTCGTGCTCAGGTCTCCGGGAGCACTCTGGCCACTCTACCACTCTTTTCCTCGTTTTTCCCTCTCGTTACATTGTAGAAAGCGACAGGGGTCAAGCCGGGATGGTGTGGGTGGGTGCACGGGCAGGGATACACGCGAGCAGGGGCCAGGGGTATTGGCTTGGCTTGGCGTCGATGTGCCCCTTTTCTGTGCTTTTTGTGGTGGTCCTTGTGTCCTTTTGCGGGTTTCGTGAGAGTGGGATCAGGGCAGTGAAGATGAGGCCAAAACAGAGAAAGGAGATGAAAAGGGGGAGAGTTGTCCTGTTGTTTTTACTTTGTCAATTGGAAAGTACGCGTGTTATGCACAAAGGCAGTCGCCACAGTCGTACTTTCCCCGAGTCGTATGTTTGTCTACGGACTTGCACACAAAAGCCCAATCGTCTCGAGGGATCGCACCTTCCTTGCAGCGCTGGGATATCACAAGAGAAAAAGGAAAGAAGGCTTGAACGGCGGAAGCACCTTCCTCGCGACGTGGTGATTTCCCCTTGCACCTGCCAGCATGTACCCCTTGCAGTTGGGAGGGACGCCATGCCCCTTTTGGTGCTAGTGAGCGAATCATGTCTGATTTGCCTGCTTTTTCTTGTCCCTCAATTTCGAGTCAACACGAGATCAACGAAACGGGGGACATGAAACGATTGAACAAGCTGAGCGACACTGCAGCCACTATGGACTCTGGCAGACCGAAATCACTGCAAAGCACCTGCACTAAACGCGCCATGGCGTTCGCTGTTTGGTGATCCGGCTGCCAGGATGAAAAGAGAAATCGACGATACTGTGGTATGTAACGAGAGATATCAAGAGACTTGAAGACAAGAAGAAAGCGGTGCTTGGCGAATGCATTGCCAGCTGGGCAGTGAACAACGGTGAGTTACAGAACATCAAACACGGCCAGCCATCCTCCGCAAGAACATCCATTGGGTTTTGAGCTTAATTAAGAACGAACCCACGAGAAACAGTGGTAGAGAAACCAAAAACCAGAAACTAGAAACAAGAACACAAAAACAGAAACGAACAAGACCAAAAAAGGGCGTTTCTGATCTTCGATCGTCTCGGCCATTGCAGCTGGACCCGGGTTTCAAAACGGAGACGCAGAATGTCCAGCCATGGGGAGACCAGACGACCTCGTGGAACTGAGCATCAGAAGATGCAAGACCAAGAAGCCTGACGGTGACGCGTGGGAATCGTGCACTAGTCCCTCGGGCAGTTTTCTTTCGGTTTTCTTTTCATCCTCGATTGCATTCTGATCGGGAAGATTACGGGGCCCTCCCGCAAAGGCCCACTGGTGGAATGAGGATGTGCGGTGCCGAAACGACAGGAAAGGAAGGGATCAGAGATGGATCAGGTCAGAGCTGTCAGACTAGGAATGGAGGGACAAGAACGTCTGAAAGGAAAACGGAAGCCATGCTAGGCCAAGCTGGCGGTGGATTCAGGTGAGCTTCAGTGGGTTGTGTGATTTTAGTACGAATGTATGTGTCGAGCTCACATTTACTGACCTCACAGTCGGCCTGAGCTCTGCCGTCTGCACTGCATTTGCATTGCAGCTTGCATTGCATGGCGTTGCAACGTGAGGGCAGACGAACTGCACGCTTTGAGCTGCTTGGGCCCTCGAATCTTGGCCCCATCGAACCCGACATTGCCTGCGGAGAAACAACCTCAAAAGTCATGCCAGACAAGTGGAGGAAGGACACCAAACAGAGGTGTCGAGGCTGGCAAACAATGAAATCGACTCGAGAGAACAAAAAAGTCGGCGTCCCAAGACCGCCCCTAACCAGCCTGGACTGTTGATACGGAGGAATAAAGGAAATCGACATCAGACCATTGGCTCCCACTTTGCTTTCATCTTTTTTCTTTTGCCCGATGTCCCGCGGACGGAACCATCGTCCAAACAGAAAGGATAGGCCACTAGCTAACCGCCTAGAGCCTGGACAGGCCAGGCCACGGCGTGGGCCCTTGGAGTATTTGTGGGTGTTGGCACGATAGCCTACAACTCTATCGGCCTTCTCATATCAAAAACCCACGAGTAATTCGGACAATGGGCGGTCGACTGAGACATGGCCGACAGCACTAAAAATCAAGGGAAATGTCTGGTATCGGGACAAAACATCGAAACTAGAAAAGATTGGCCTTGGTCCCCTCTTTTTCAACAGGACGCACGCAATGCAAGGGAGGCTGAGAGGGTTTTCACCTTCTACTCCGTACGGCGTACGGGGATATGGAGAACGGACGAGACCGTTACGACACCGGTTCGACAATTTGCAGTGAGCGTCCAGCTGAGAGCCACGAGAAGGGGCTCCATTGAGCGACATGTCTAAGATGATCAATGGAGGGGCTTGTCTTTCTCTCAGGTGAGCGACAGGAAAAGAAAGACAACACAACATACGTTGTACTCGGCCGGTTGGACCTCCTCTGCGCTTTGACCCGCGAGCATGGCAGCAATGGTAGGCACCCAAAGGAGGAGACGGTACTTTGTCCACTGTGCATGCTGAATGCGGGGGCCAAGGGTCCAAGCCGTCGACGTTGTGTCGTCCAAATCACAATTTCTTTTATCAGGGCAGCATAGGGATGTACAACGGAGAGAAGGAGAGGGGACAATGAAAAGAAGGAAAAGAGACGAAGAGACGAGGAGACGAGGAGACAAAAAGACAAAGAGACGGGAACGTGGTCTATGTGGTCAACGGAATGCGAGACAAGAGAGAGCACCACGGCAGCACGGCTCGACCGAGACAGACAGAGAAGGATGCAAACCAGAGTCGACCAGCCCATCACTGCTGATCAGTGGCCCAGATCCAGCGTGGGACCGCCATGGCCGAGCAAAGGGAGACGAGGGAGGATATGCGCACGCAGTGGATGTAAAGACGTTTACCCTGCGTTGTCGATCCAGTGTTCTTGCTCGTGTGTTTTGTCCTGACGTGTGGCTTTCGTGCCTGTTCTCGCTACTGCTTCTCGTTCCCTCCCTGCCGTGCGTGGTCGACCAAAGACGCGCCGATCGAGACAAGACGACATGTGGCAAGCTGAAGGAGGCAGAGCGCAGGAAACGTCAACGCAAGGGAGGCCGAGACTGATTGTCTCACATTTGTGAGGCCCTGGAGGACAAGAGTACGAGACAACACAACGTCAACGTAAGGGACGGATAGATGGAGGGAAGAGACGCACGTTTCAAAGACAAGAAAGGAGAATGAAATGCATGCAACAGCCATGGACAGCATTGCCAGCTGCCAGACTCTGGGACGACCGTTGAACACTGTCATGAGACAGAATGGGACACAGAAATAAAAAGTAGAGAAGGTAGAGATCCATGGGAAACAAGACGAAACGAAACAAGCCGTCACAAAGGAGATGTATGTCGTAAATAACAGTAACGCGAACATAGTAACACGAGCATATAAAAAGGAAAGAAGAAACGGATCGCACAACACTGTATAGTCATCCCACGCTGGCTATAGAACAAGTAGAAAAGAAAGAAAACGAAATACAAGACCAGCAGAGACTCATAGCATAGTCTTCACGACCCGCAATCTGTACTCTGTTGCTCTCCGTATCGCTCTCGGTGTATCGCCAGACGCGTCGCGTTGTGCAACCAAGCACGAGGCTCGTCTCTACTTCGTCTGTTGTTTTCGTGGGAAGACCGCCGTCCCACCTGTCTCTGCGGTGTTGCACAGAGCATGTTCGATGTGTCCTGCGTGTGAATCGCATTTGTTGTCATACAGCATGCTTCCTGTATCGGTGCATGGCCTGAAGCTGTCACAAAGGGGCGACGTTGTTGGGTGGCACAGGAGAAACGACACGCTGATTGTTTTGTTTCTGAAGAACATCGCATCATACGACGCCGTCGGCACCTTGGAAATTGTACACTGCAACCCTCTTGCTCGTCAGCGTTGGTTGAACGTTGCATCACAAATGTCTTTGCAAGTGGTTCCTTACTGACCACTATAAAGTACGTTATACTCACCATGTTCATATACCACATATATACCACATACGAAATAGACGACGTATATACCACATTGTCCTTGGCAGTTGACTGTCACGGCATCCTCTATTCGGAATAGAGACATGCAACCAATGGACAGCCGTTGTCACATACGCCCGTTGCATTATAGCGTCTACTCAATAAGGATCGCAATCCCATCACACGAAAGCAGTGACTGTGAACAGAAGCACAGCTTCGAAGCCCAACGTCCCACCGCATGCCAATTTGTGGCCCAGTCCAATCTTGTAGTACGTCCATAAGCACATCGCAAACGCATAGTGGGTGCTGCAGATCCAGACACAATACAAAGTAAATTCCAAAAAAAAAGACTAAATGCTTCAAACAACTCATATGTCATTTCAGCCATCCAAAGAAGAAAGAGGGGCAGAGGCGGTGTGAAGTAGAAAACGAAATCACAGAAATATGTAAACGTAGAAGAAGAGGGACGACTGACGCAAGGAAATAAAAAATAATAGAGATGGGAAGAAGGAAGAGGACATGAAGGTGACGGTCGAGGTAAAGGCCAATGTGAACAGTCAAATAGGTCGGTGTCGAGCAAAACAGAGCCCACCCAATGCGAAAGGTATCTAAGGCGAAAAGAGGAAAAGGACGAGTAGAGAAAGACAAACAAAATTAGAGGTAGACGAGGCGCTAGGGAAAGGCAAGGCAAAAGAGCAGAGGTCGCACAGGTCGCTTGCGCGAAGACGCTGTTTGTTTTGTTTGGCGATTCAAAGGTGAGGGTGAGGCGGTGAGGCGGTGAGAAGGCGTCAAGGTGGAAGAGTAAAAAAGACACGGGGAGAAGAACAGAAAATCAATCAATCTCAACGCATCGCAAGACGTAAAATCAAAATCAAAATCCACAAAGTAGACGAACAGAAAAAGGACAAGAAATATCCAGAATATGATGGGAAATGAGAGGGAAATGAGAGGGACAGGAGAAGGAGACGACAAAGACGAAGACGACACAGACAAAAAACTCAGAAGCAGTTCAGAGAGCCCTTCTTCTTCTTCTTGCTGATGGCGTTCATGCGCTCCTCGAGGTGGGCGCGCGCAATCTCGGCGTCGCGCCGCTTCTTGCGCTCCTCCTCCACCTGGTGCAGGCTCCACCGGTTGTCCTGCGCCGGCTTGTCCTTGAGCTCCTTGTTCTCGCTCTCCAGCTCCTGCGCGCGCCGGCGCCACGCGTCGCAGTCCGTCTTGAGCTTCTTGGACTGCTCCTCGAGGTCCGACAGCGCCTCCTCCAGCGTCTGCGTGAGCTGCTTCTCCGCGTCCAGGTGCTTCTCGATTGTGCGGATCCGCGCCTCCTGGTCCTGCTGGATCTGGTGCAGCGCAATGTCCTTGCTGGGCGGCCGCATCGTCGTCGGCGTCGACGGCACGTTGTTGGCCGTCGGCGGCGGCGAGCTCGAGCTCGGCAGCGGCGGCAGCGGGATGGCCGGCGGCGGCGACGGCAGCGACGCCACCGACGAGCTCTTGCGCAGCTGCGAGCTGGCCGAGTTGGACCGCTGCGGCGCGCTGCTGCCGTCCGCCGGCAGGATGCCCTCGAACCGCGCCTGCAGCGCCGCGTACTCCTCGCGGATCGCGTCCAGCTCCGACTGCATGCGGATCTTGGCCGACGTCGCCTCCTCCAGCTGCTGGTGCCGCTCCGACTGCAGCGTCGACAGCCGGTTCGTCGTGATCTGCGCCTGGTCGAAGTTGGTCTGCAGCTGCTCCTCGAGCTCGTCCACCAGGCGCGAGTGCTTCTTGTTCTTCGTCTCCAGCTCCGTCAGCCGCTTCTGCACCGCCGCCGCCTGCTCGGCCACGGTGGCGTTGGGCTTGCGGTTCACCTCCGCGTCCGGGCCCAGCACCTGCGTCAGCGTCGCGCGCGCCGTCTCCAGGTCGCGCATCACCGAGTCGCTGATGCTCGTCAGCTCCTTGACCGTCTCCTGCAGCTCGTACGACTTGTTCTGCTCCACGCCGAGCGCCTTCTGGTCCGCAATCAGGTCCTCGATGCGCTCCGTAATCTTCTCCACGCTGACGTCCAGGCCCAGCGCAAACGCCACCTGCGTTGCCACCTTCATGAGGTCCTCGCGCGCCTCCGTCAGGTCGCTCTCCAGGATGCGAATGTTCTCCGCATGCTCCGTCATGAGCACCTGCACCTCGTCGTCGTACTCCTTGCGCGACGACGCCTGCAGCGTCTCCAGCTCGCGCGCGTGGTCGGCCTCGAGGGTCGCGAGGCCCTCCTTGTGTGTCGCCAGCGCCTTCTCGTGGTCGGCAATCTTGGTCTCGAGCTGCGACACCAGCGACTTGTGCGTCGCCGCCGCCGCCGAGGCAGCATCGCGTGCCGCCACGGCCTCCTCGAGCGCCGACTTGGCCGACGCGTGGGCCGCCTCGAGCTCCGCGACCTTGGCCGCGTTGCTGTTGATAATGGCCTTGTACTCGTCGACCTCCGTGCGCAGCATCTGCACCTGCTCTTCCTGCTTGGTGCTGGCCTCGGTGTTCTTGGCCGACGCCGCGAGCTGCTCGTTGGCCGCGGCCAGCTGCGACTCGAGCTGCGCAATGTGCTCCTTCATCTGCTTCTCGGTCGCGCCCATCGACGCCAGGGCCGTCTCGTGCTTCGTCTCCCAGCCAGCCAGCTCGGCCTCCAGGCCGCGCACCTTGTCGGCGTGCTCCTGCTCCTGGGCCGTGTTGCGGGTGTCGATGCCACCGTCGGGCTTGAGGGACGCCCGGAGGCTCTCCAGCTCGGTCTGCAGCTCCTGCTCGCGCGCCGCCTGTGCGCTCTTGAGCTGGTTCATCTGCCTCTCGTTCTTCTCCAGCTGGTCGCGCAGCGTCGACACCACAGACATGTCCATGGGCGAGCTCTTCAAGCTGGAGCGCTCGCGCGTCAGGCCCGAGATGATGGCCATCTTGGTGTCCATCTCCTTCTTGGTCGACGCGACGTCGGCCTCGAGCTCCTGGATGCGCTCGGAGCGCGCGTGCAGCTCGTGCATGGCCGCGTTGATGTTCAGCTCAAAGTTCTGCATGACGTCCGGGTTGCCCTCAAAGTTCTCCGTCGCAATGTTCCGCAGCGACGCAAACGACCGGTGCGCACGATCGATAATCATGACGTTCTGGCTCGACTTGCGACGAATCACGGGCGTCGACGAGCGCGGCGACGTCACTTCGGCCGCCTGCTGCGCCTTGGCCACCTCCGTCTTGAGCTCCTCGACCATGTCGAGGGTCTGGTGGTGCTGCTGCTCCAGTTCGGCGTACTTGCCCGAGAGCGTCTTCTCGGCCTCTTCCTTCTCGGCGGCCAAGGCGCGCAGGCGCTCCACCTCGGCTTCCAGGATGCTGTCGCTGGAGGGCGACATGATCAGGCCGCGGCCGTTGACCGAAGGCGACTGGGGCACGGCCGCCTCGTGGGCAACGTCGCGCTCGTCGGTCTGCTCGGCCTGCTCGGCCTGCGGCTGCTCCTCTGCGTTCTCAGAAGGCTCAATGTCGCGCACCTGGGGAATGGCCAGAGCAGCAGCGGCGACATCGATGCTCGTGGGACGCGTGCCCTTCTTGACGGGTGCCAGGGTCTCGGCGTCCGAGTGCTCCATGGCAGCGGGCGACTCGAGCGCAGACGACAGCTCCGAGGAGAGCGACCGCGACGACGAGTAGTGGCGGTTCTTCTCGGGCTCGCTCGACCGCGCGTCGGACAGGTACGACGACGGGCGGGTCTGCGATGTCTCGGCAGCGGACAAGATGGAGTCGCGGACGGTCTGTCTCGGGTGGCGGGCCTCGTCGACGGCGTCCTGGAGCTCGGCAAGCGTGCGCAGCGCCTCCTCGTACTTGGCGTGCAGCAGCTCAAACTCGGTCACCGTGGACTCGTGCTCGACACGGAGGTCGACCAGCTCCTGCGTCACGACCTCCAGCTTGTCGGCAACAAACTTGGACTGCGCCGAGCTGGTGAAGCTTTCGGAACGCTTGGTCGTGTGCAATGAAGCCTGAGACGGGCGCGGCGTCACGGACTTTGGCACGCCGTTGGTCTGCTCAGCGGCAGCGGTCTCGCCGTTCGGAGTGACTTCGTCGTCGCCCTCGCCCTCGCCCTCGCCCTCGCCCTCGCCCTCGCCCTCGGCCGCTTGCTCCTGCTCGGGGCCCGCCTCTTCCTCAATCGTAGCATGGATCTCGGGGGCCGCGGCCGCCAGGGGCTCGCCGTCCTCCTCTTCGGGGATGACGTCCGTGCTGTGGCTGTGGCTATGGCTGTGGCGGCTCACATGGCTGAGGCTGCGTGCGTGGTGCTCGATGCTGCGGCTGGCCGTGCGGCGGTGGCCGTGGCCCATGCCATTGGGGGCGACATTGTTACCGCTGCCGTTGACGGCCGTTTCGGTGTTGTTGTTGTTGTCGACACCAGACGTGATGCCCGGGCCGGCGCTGCCGTCCTGCTGCTGCATGTTGTCGAGCTCGTACAGCAGCGAGTCCAGCTTGCCCAGGCTGCGCTGGCGCTCGACGACCTGCTCGAGGCGGTCAATCTCGCGCTGCATCAGCTCGGCGTCCTGGTCGGCCTCGGCGAGACGTTCCTCGAGGGTGGAGATGTAGTCCTCGCAGGTGGCCTCATTCTCGCGAATGCGGGCAATCTCCTTGCGGAGCTCAATGATGATGGTGGCATTCTTCTCTTCGCCCGACGTGTGGCCATCGAGCTTAGACTCAAGGTCGTGGAGGTAGTTTTCGGTGTTGGCTTCGCGGTCCATCAGCTTCTGCAGACGTGCCTGGAGCTGTGTGTTGATGGTGTCTGCGTAGGCGCATTTGGACTCTTTCTCCAGCAAGCTGGTTTCGGTGTTGGCGAGGGTGGCGCGGGTGCTGGACAGGGACTGCTCGAGCGACTGGATCGTCTTTTCATACTCGAGGACGACCTGCTCGACGGCGTGGGCAAACGTGTTGGAGCGATTTAGCCGCTCTGTCGCGCTGTCCTCACCCGCCTCGGCCTCTGCCAGCTGGTGCTGCTGCATCTCAGCCGCCTCAATATCGCGCGCCTTGGCCATCTCGGCAATAAGCTTTGCGTGCCGCTGGCTGAGCGCAGAGTAGTTCTCCTGGGCATCCAGCAACGCGTTTTGCATCTCCACTTCCCGCTCGCCCTGGCGCTCGGACCGCTCCGTCGCAGACATGACACGACGCTCGCCGGGGCTGCTGTTGGAGGCGGCGCTGCGAATCTGTTCGCGCAAAAAGGCGACCTCTGCCTTGAGACGGTCAATAATCGCCTGCTTGTCGCCCTCTTCGACCTGCTGGATGCGCGGCTTGCTCTGGATCGCACGGGCGCGCTGGGCGTACTGGACGGTGTTGAGGGTTTCGCTGAGGTGAAACTCGGCCGGCGTCACGCATGCAATCATGTAGGTGATGGCATTGCCACCGAGCGAGTCTTGCAGCAGACGGGTGAGGCGGGAGTCGCGGTAGGAGACGTGGGATCCCGCCTGGCGCGAGGACAGCTGCGAAATCACTTTGCCCAGGGCAGCCAGGCCCGCATTGATGGAAATGCCCTCTTTGGCGCGCTCTCCCTGGGCGCCGGTGTTCTTGAGGCGCTCGCTGCCGGCTAAATCGACAAAATGGAACTTGCTGTCGACTGTGACAAAGGACTCGGTTCCCGTCAAGGCCTCCAGCGGGACAGACATGCGCTTCTCGGCCTTGGTGGACTGGAAGCCGTTCCTGCGCTGGACGAGGTTCAGGCTGAAGACAGCGTGCGAGCGCGACGACCGCGCGTTGATGGCGGTTGCGTCGGTCTGGCGCAGGGTGGAGCCAAAGTTGAGGGCATTCAACAAGTCGTCGACGGAATTGATGTCGACCTGGTGCAGGCCGGTCAGGATAATGTTGCCCTTGACGTCCTCGCGGATGGTGACAGAGGCACGCTCATGCGTGGGGACGCTGTCGGGGATGAGAAGATCACGCAGCTGCTCGTTGTAAATTTCTACGTAGGTGGCTTTGAGGGACCACGTCTTGTCGGCGCGGGGGGCAGCAGCCTGGCTGGCGCCGTAGCCTTTGGGCGCACGAAGATGAGACATGGAGCTACGGTTGCTGTTTGTTTTGGGGCCCTCGAGCTTCTCAAACAGCGCCGCGGCGGCTCGTGGAATGACGCCTGGTCGGACGAGTTAGTCAAGGTCAAGGGTTCGCTGTCAGGAAAGCAGAAATGTGGGAGGGGGGAGAGCGCCAGCATAAACTAGGGCGTTTGTCATGCTGTAAGACGCAACATACCCATGATTTCGGGGTCACCCTGCTCGCTGGGACCGGACGTGCCCATGGTGTAGGACTTGCCGGCGCCGGACTGGCCGTAGGCCAGCAGGGAGACATTGTAGCCCGTGGTGAAGGAGTTGACACTGTCGGTCAGGTAGTCCCAGACGCCGTCCTGGGAGACCTCGGGGCTGAAGACGCGGTCAAAGACAAAGAGCTTGCGGCCCTGGGGTGAGTCGATGGCCAGGCTTGTGTCGGAGTTGACCTGGACCATGGAGCGCTGGAAGCGCTGGGGAATGAGATCGTAGCCGGGATCGGTTGGCCGTAGCGGTGGGCGAACACGGACAGCTATCCTGTTAGTGACTCGAAAAAGAAAGAAGAAAAAAGGTAAAAGTGGCAGTCGTATCCCAACTGCAAAATACGGGAGGACTAAACGTACCAACTTTGACAGAGGTGCGGCCGTCTTCGTCAGACGCACGGCTGCCGCCATTTTTGCTGCCGACGCTCATGCGGCTGTTGCTTCTGGGCGAGGGGCGGACCATGACGCTCATGGGCCGCTGGAGGCCCGGCGACGCTGGTGATTGTGGCAGAGAGGACGGCGGGAGATGGCCGTGGGTATCGATGGCGGAGGGTATGGAGGAGGCGGAAGCGGCGGGCGCGACGGCCGACGCGACGGGGGGCTCCATGGCTATTTAGATTTTGCAGACAACACAGCGGAACAAGGCAGCAGGCAGAAACGAATTGGGTAGGGCTTCGATTCGATTGGAGCCAACCCGCGTGGGCCTGCAGCAGGCGAAGGAGATGCGTTGGCGGCGCGTCCCTTCCTCGAGCCGTGCTGGTGGTCGAGATTGCCTGTCGCCTCTCGCCTGTTTGTTGGCGCGCTTCCTTTCCTTGTTCCTTTGTTTTGCCGATAAGGGGGGAGGGGAAACAGCGCGTCGGTAGAGGGGGGACGGTAGATTGGTTCAAGCTGACAACGTATAGTGTATCACGGCAGGAATTAAGACGACGCGAATATCGAATTTTACTGCGGCAATGCAGCCATGCAAAAACACAAAAGTCGGGTCGTGGTCGAGGGAACGGTAACGGTCCTGGCTAAACAAGAGTGCCAAACTTTCGAGAACGACAAGAAAAGACCAGACGGGCGATCGCGGGCGCGGGGAAAACGACGAGAAGGACGGCAACAGGCGAGCGAAAAGCGACAAGACGCAAAGCGAACAGGCGCAAAAGGGGGCGTGGTACGGATAACAAATCGGCCGGGAAACGGTTCTTCTGGTTTTGTGTGGCTCGCTGTAGCTCTAGCTGGGAGCGAGCGGCGTCATTCGAACAGGATCAGAAGAACATCAAACACAGCCGAGGCGAAGAAAGCCGTGTCTCTCTCTCTGTGTGTGTGTGTGTGTTTCTGTCGCGCGGGTATATTTCGTAAAGCGTCGTGGCGGTGCTGTCTCCTGGAACTGGACGGACGTTGGGCGACCAGTCTTTGGTATTAGTTTTTATTTGGTGTTTTATTTTCCTCGGAACGAGGATGAAAAGGAGAGAAATAACAAAACGAAATAACGAGGAAAAGCAGGGAAAAGGGGGGCTTGTGAGGGACAAGGCCAGATGCCCAATTTTGAGAAGCAAACGAAAAGGGCAACAGAAGAAAAATAGCAGGTAGCAAAAAAAAGGAAAAGAAAAAGAAAAAAGGCAGAAAGTAAACGATGACCAGAGGCTTGCGAGGAGTCCACCACGAGGGAAACAAAAATTGGAGGTGCCAGAAAAGGGGACCAGATAGAGAGGGAAAGGGAGGACCAGTGTGACGGGGGGGGGGGGGGGCAAAGGAGAGACACGCCCATGTGCCTGGTTCTAGGGACGACGCGGGAAACGGACTGAAATGGACGAGAGAATAGGGGAGCGGACGGGGGGGGGGGGGGGGGGGTTCGCGTACGAATTATGGATACACCCAAAAGCCAAAAATCGAAAACGGAGAACGGCTGGCCCCATCCAACTGTCAAAGCTGGTGGAACTGGGGCGGTGGACTCTGAAGCGGGCGTGTGTGGCAGAAGGACTGAAGGGCGGAAGGACGGATCTTGGCTTTGGTGCTTCTTTTCTCTCTCGGTGCGGTTTGCAAGTGGATGGTCCAGGCAGGCGTGTGTCGTGTGTTTTACATGCGCTCTGCTCGCTCCTGAAATGATTCTGATATGATTTGATTGCGACCGGGGTGTCGCGCGGACATTGATAGTCGATTTCTGAGGGAAAAGCGCAAATTAACGGCTTTCTCTACGACGTGAAAAACGCGTCGCAGCACGTCGTCCCCCAATGGGGACAGGACATGGGTGGCAGGTGGAGGGCGAGAAGGGTCCTGTTTCGTGAGTCGGGGCCGGCGCGACGCTCGATTTGGGGTGAGAGATAAAACAGAATGGGGAAATACAACGAGAAACGGAAGTCGATGAAAAGGGGGGGACGATGGTGGCGGGAGCTGGAGGGAGCTGGAGGGAGCTGGAGGGAACTGGAGGGAACTGGAGACTGGGATGACAGGGGATGGTTTTTGGTGTGGTGGAAAAGGTCCATAAATGGAATAAGACGAGACTTTCAAGAGCAATGACACAGTGTCGGCAGGCACAAAATATCTGAATATCTGATAGATCGTCAGCACAGGCCGGCCATGCAAGGGAGACGGCCAGCAAAACAGGTGGTGAAAAAGGCTGGCCAGTCGAAGGCGAGAATGGTGGGCCAAAGTGAGGTTCGAAAAAAGGAGAAGAAAGCTACGAGACAGAGAGGAAGCGGCGATGCCAGAAAAGGACGCAGACAATCAACATCAACACAAACATGGCATGTCACATCCGGAAGGAGCAATCATAGCACAGTAGGGGGTTCGACGGCGGAAGGAACGACAATGCCACGCTGTTGGGGATGGAAGGCGCGCGGGTGCGTGTCACAGGAGAAACGTCGTAGGATGTGAAGTTACAGTGGCAGGCGGGTGCAGCGGAGGGCAGCTGCTATCTGCACGGTCGGCAGGCGCGAGTTTCTCGCCCTTTCTTAGGAAAGAGCCAGGGAGACAGGTGAGGCACGCAAGGAAAGAGCGACCAGGGCAAGGAGGGAGTTGTCAAGCAGCAAGAGCGAGTGAGCTGGACAAAACGAGAAAACAGGAATCCCGAAAACATGAAAGTGAAAGTGACGGCAAGAGTTCGCTTGACTGCGCTCGTACATACGTCGAAAAGAGCTTCGGACGACCACATTCGAAAACCAAAAAGGGGCGCGCAAAGGGGACAGGGGTATGGGAAAGTGACCAGGGCCAAAGGCCAGGAGCCCCGACAGGGGTGGATAGCCCTAGCGTAGTGGGTCCTCTTTTTTCCTTCCTCTCCTTCATTGGGTTCTGGGTCGCTCTTGCCCAGTCGCAACGGCGTAATTCGTACCTGCCGTGCGCTGGAGCTTGTCTCTTGTCAATATCACATATCGACTGAGCATTACAGCGTAGTGGCATCACTTTTAGGGGGTGGGCTATTTCGACTGGATGCAGGTGATGGATGAGCCGTCGAATAGCATAGCGAAATTGCACTCGATGTTGAGAAATCGGGTACTTTTGGGTGACATATGCACGTTACGATACAAAAGTACGAAGAAATGAGCTTGGCACCTTATTCTGGTACTTTTTTAAAAGACAGGAAAGAGCAACCGCGTGTTTCAGCGGCATTCCCGGGTGACAGCCAGCCGTTTGCGCCTTCCAGGCTGTGTGGCGTCCACCATTGCCTAGGAGGCTTGCTGTCGAGGAAGGAACGCGACGGTGTTCCAGGCAAAACCCAAAACGGGTCAATCTCTGTTTTAGAGGTCTTCTGTAAAGAGCGTACATTAGGGGCGTTGTTGGCACGTTGGAGCGTGGTCGGAGCATGGAGAGCAGGCCGGTGCGCTGTATCTTACATGGGCGATGTACTCAGTAAAAGACACTGTCTGACATGGTGAGACACGCGCAGCAGCGGGGATGCTGGAGGACAGCAGGACAGGTCGCGTTCATGGCCTGCTCACTAGTGGAGGGACGTTGGAACCGATGGAGTCGTGGTCTGGCGAGGAGACGGATGATCGTTATTTCGCCACGGACATCCCAGACGTTTCTGAGAGCAAGTTTGGTTTGGAGCATTTTGGAGTTGAGAGAGCGCGGGCTAGGACGCCCTACCCGTCGGTACTCACAGTACTCAGTAGTCGTGTCTGGCAACGGAGAAAAAGGAGTCTTCAGAGTACGACAGTACGCTCAAACGGGTTACAGACGCGAGGGATGGACATGGCCGTTGTATCTCTGTCGGAACATGTCTCGTTCAGAGAGAAGTCGTGCTCCTGCCAAAAGAAACCCATTTTGGACAGAAGAGGCCAGTGGCGTTCGTTGGTTCTTTCCTCGCCTTTCCGCTCTTTCCCTCGCGGTGCACTCTCCCTGGCGGGCGTCCGCCGGCAAGCACCCGCCGCCGCCCGTCTCTTTCCTCCCTTGCGTCCTCCAAAACAGAGCACGCGGATCAACGACACGACAACGCCACCGTCAACGCACAGGCACTCTGATGTTGCCTTGGCCGCTTTCACTGGAAGGGATGACGCGGGCCAATGAGAGCGTCCAATGGCAGTCTTGGCCGGGGCGTGCTGAGCAGTGGCTCAGTGCCCAAGAGGCCCGAGCCTTTTTTGTGGGGGTCTGGCTTTGTTTGGAGGATGATGCACGATGTGCGGAAATATTACGAGTACTACTGTGTATCAGTGGCAGTTGAAAGCGACAGCAAAGACGCATCCGGGAGCGTTCTCGTCACGGAAAGATCCAAATGATGGCGAGATACTTTGAGGGCCGAGGTGGCATACGACAGAGAATGATGTCGGGCACGTCTTTTTCCACAGCAGCAGGTTTTGGTTCTGTCCTGCTTCCCGTGTTTCTTGCTCCCTTTTTGCTGTGCTTTCTTTTTCCGTGGCAATTTTCCTTTTTTTGTTTTTTTTTTTTTTTTTTTTTTTTTTTTTTTTTTCTTCTTTCTTTCTTTCTTTCTTTCTTTTCTTTCTTTTTCTCCTTTTCTTTCCGCTTCTTTCTTTCTTCTTTCATGTCTCACCTGCGCAAACGCCATCCTCTCGCTTCGTCACCGGTTTGATAACAGGAGCAGCGGTCCCCGCTGGCGTGCGTCGCACGCATGAAACTGTCCGGCCAGCCTCCTCCGATTCCCTCTCGCCTCTCGTCCGTTCCTATTTTTGTCAAGCCTGTTTCTAATTTGGTGTGCGAGGCCCTTCTAGAAACCAGACGCTTGCATACGAAGCAGGTACAGAGTACGGCGTGCGGGAGTATTCGGACACGCTATATGTCCCCCATCTCTTTTTCTTCACATGTACAGAATAGACGCCAGCAGGACACGCGATGCGACAGCAAAGCCGCCCGGTGTAGATGCAGACGTCCGGGAGATTGCAGTGGGCAGTGGGCAGTGGACATGACGTTGGACTCGACGATTGTTGTGTACTTTTGTGTAATTACGGGATATTCAATGTCGCGTACGTATCGTACGACATGTCACTTGAGTCGCCCTGCAGGCTGCTGCACTTGTTGCAGTTGGAAATGAAATGCGCCAAAACGGGTCATTGTTGCAGCCAGCGGAGTACGGTGGACAGAGGACTTTGTCATACGACACAGCCGAACAAACACAGTTTGATGCTGCTTTGTCGAGATGGGAAAGACAACATTCTGCCGGCACAATCGGTGTCCTTGTCCCAAACACGCTCACGGCCATGGACGACCTGCCCCTCGTCTTCTTTTCCCCTCCCTTCTCTGCCATCCCCGGGGTCTCTGGGCCAGACTTGTTGTTTATGCGGTTCTGCCCCAGCGCATCAACCGCCGATATCCCTGGTCCATCCCTTGCCTTCCAATCTTTCGACCACGTCGAATCTGCCGTTGAGCAGCCCCAACATGTGGTAAGAAAGAGGAGGCGAGCAGGTCAGGCCGATTTCCACAGCGACTCGGTACACAACGACTCGGTAGTTCTTTGGTTCTTGGTGTCTAGCGAGAAGGCAATCTCTCCCTCTTGTCGTCTTTTTCTGGTCGCGTACATAGCCTATTCGCCAGATGGGCCTCTCGTCACAGTATCTTAACAGCAAAAAATGGGGACCATGATCGCAGTCGATCTGGTTCGAGGAAACGTCAGCCACACCCAAAAGCACTCAACGCACAGGGTCCAGCCTCTTGCTGCTCTCTGTGAGGACGGGTGCAAAGGTAGGCCTTGCCCAGGGCCAGTGTGCTTCCAAGTGTGGCGACTACGTATGTCGTATATGATGGAAATGCCGTACCAAAAATGAGTGTGAGTGGGAGGTGCTGAGATAAGGAGGGATACGGAGTATGTCGAGTTGTCTCAGCGTATTCGTACGGAGCCATACTCCGTACTGTATTTCGTACAACAGACGATGTCCCACACATGAAAATACGGTAGCTTCCTCGTGTAGGTAGGGAACATCCGTATCGGACGTCGATCGTCTACCGGATGCCGGGCGTGGTGCCGTCGAGCGTCGCTTTGTCACTGGATTTGAAAAGGAAACCTAGCCTGCAATACCATGTACATTTTACGAGTATGTACGCTGTGCGTTGGCTGTGTTTAGTGCCAGCGCGCATGTTGAAAAAGTGCGCTTGTGTTGGACTTGCATGGACGATCAGGCCAACGAGGAATACGATAGAAAGGGAGGTTGTAAGAAAAGACTGGAAGAGGAGAATACTACAAAGCACACACACACACAAACAAAAAAAAAAAAAAAAAAAAAAAAAAAAAAAAAAAAACAAAGTCCAGGCGTGCCCATACCCATCCCTCGCATGGTCAGGAACGTGCGACAGACTGCGACCTACAGCGATTGGGTCATGAATGGGCCAACGTTTAAAACGATCGTTGCCACAGATGCTAGGCAGAAAGTCGGGGATATCAATGCTCAATGCCAGGATTCTTGTGTTATACCAATATACGGAGCATGTCGTACACGGCGATGGGCACATATAGCTGCTGTCTTCTCTCGCATCCTTGCTGCGCTCGACCGCATGTCCGATGCAGACAATGAAGATGCACTGTCCATCAACGGTGCGTGCTCATGCGGTGTGCACAGATCGTTGCTCTGCATGCGGTGTGCTCCCTGCGGTGTTCTCCATGCACTGCAACTCGTCCGACAAAATGCTAGTGTCCATCTCCCTGTAAGGTCTGTACGGTCCGTCTACATCGTCATCGCACCCTTCATCAGCGTCGTACTCGGTGGCAGCATTGGGAATGCCACGCCGGCACGTGGACCGGCGTTGGTCGGTTTCAACAGGCAAGTCGATCGCATCGTGGGACGTCGCGAGACTGGATGCAGCCACGCCGATGATACTCGAACGCCTTTGGGAATCCGAGTTGGAAATGGAATATTGCATGTCGAACGTCGAACGTCAGAACGTCAGAACGTCAGAACGTCAGGCCTCGTGATCTCCAGAAGAGACGAAAACGCCCAACCGTGGAAAAGAACGGACGGACGGGTCCGTCCAGACGATAAACGAGGAGAAACACATTTAGCCAGCCAAGAACCAGACAACTGGCGAGACTGGTCGATCTCAAGGCGCATGTCGTACGTTGCACGTCGTCCTGTTCCCCGTCCTGTCGATGCACGCCATGACGTCTGTGCCGCCCAAGCACGGGTCAACAAGAGAACAGCAAACGAGTTGGCGGTTGTGCGACATGCAATATGGAGATGGAAAGCTGGGAATGATGAATGCTGCCAGACACGATACATCTGCCCTCTCTCCCCTCTTCTCGCCGCTGCCCGTGCGCAGCATGCAAAGGAAGCGGTCCAAAAACGCCCCGAGAGCCCTCAGACGTCGGATGCACGTCGTGTGTTGCTTGTTGCTTGTTGCCTTCCGGCTCTACCGGTTCGCACCCTTTTGTGTCCTCGTTTTTCTTTCCTTTCGTCTCGGCTGTCTCGCTTGATCGTTTGCCTCCTTGCTACCCAGGCGTTGTGCGTGTTTTGTCCTCCACGCTGTTTGTACATCATGGCGTTTTCCAGATCGTATTCAAACGCCACAGTCAAGCAAATGGACCTCTCGAGTTCCCTGCTAGCCCGTATTCTGGGAGTCTCGCCCGCGTAAGGGTCGTATAGAGTAGAGTATGAAGGGCCTTCTCACAGTTTCTATAACATTGTCCTTAAACACGATGAATCAAATATGTTGACTATATAAATTAAGTAAAATATAATAAAAACAAGTTAAATTGTACGACGTGGATGTTCCTTTATTCCGAAAACCCAACACAAGCAATACAGAATATTGCCAAACAAAAAGCAACGAACGTTAAAGCAACAGACATTAAAGCAACAGACATTAAAGCAACAGACATTAAAGCAACAGACATTAAAGCAACAGACATTAAAGCAACAGACATTAAAGCAACAGACATTAAAGCAACGGACGTAAAAGTAGACAGGAAATACCGAACAACGCAAGTCATAAGGAATAATCATAATTCAGTGAATGAATCGTCGTTTGTCACCTGGACATGGTCACGTGCCTCACAATTGTGACCCCACAATTTGGGTCGACTTAAGGAAACGACGTCAAGCTCGATGGGAAGGAGCAAACGCGCCTGCGCGCCTGACTGCGCACCCAAAACAGGAGACACTTTCGGCCCACCGCTTCGACGACGACAAACATAACAATCACTGGTGACTGACGACCTCTCGCGCGACCTCACACGCCACCCTTCCATTGGTCTCCCTAGCACGCGACAGCCGACGACAATGGCCCCGGTGGCAGTCGCGGCGGCGGCGGATCCCCCGGCAGCAAGGCGTCGCAAGGCGAAAGAAGGGGGTGAGGCGACACAGATGCAGCCCGACAAGCTGTCGATACGCGGACCGAAGCAGCCGCCGCCCAGGCGAAGCCAGCGAGGCCAGCGAGGCCAGCGACGGCAGTCGACCGACTCGCCGTCGGCGCAGCTCGCAGGGGCCATCTCCCACCGTCGAGGCGACGACGACGACGACGACGACGACGACGACGACGGCATGCACTCTCCACGGCGAGAACGCACACGGCGTGGGCCGAGCATGTCGCGGTCGCGGTCACGATCTCGATCCCGATCGCGGTCGCCGAGACGGAGGCGCTCTTCTTCTGCGTCCGGCTCGGAGGCGTCACGCCCACACTCTCGCGCACACTCCCATGCCCGCTCGCTCTCCCCGCGGAGCCGCTCTCCTTCTCGCTCTCCTTCGCATTCGCATTCGCGAGCGCGAGCGCGCGCTCGCTCCGACTCGCGCTCTCGCTCGGGCTCGCCGCGGCGGACAAACACAAACGGGCCACGCAGGCCTGCCAGCGACGACGTGCACACCCATGCCCACACGCACACCCATGCCAATACACACACGCACACGCACCGCCGCCGCCGCCGCCGCCGTTCCGCGTCGCCGCGCCCCCGCTACCGGCGCGTCCTCGCCATGCGCGGCCACAGCGGCCCCATTGCGCAGGTGCGCATCTCGCCCGACGGGCGCTGGATCGCGTCGGCGTCGGCGGACGGCACCGCGCGCATCTGGGACGCCGCGACGGGCGCGCACATGACGACGCTCGTGGGCCACGTGGCGGGGCTGTCGTGCCTGGCGTGGAGCCCGGACTCGAACACGCTGGCGACGGGCGCCGACGACAAGGCCATCCGGCTGTGGGACCGCGTGACGGCCGAGCCGGCGCACGCCGTCGGGGAGGCGGGGGGCGCAGGAGACGAGGAGGCGGGCGGCGACGACGGGGCGGACGAGGCAGACGAGGCAGACGCGGCAGACGCAGTTGCGGAGGCGCGGGTGGCGGTGCCGTCGGCGGCGGCGCTGGCGGTGCGGTTTGCGCGGCGGCAGCTGCGCGAAGGCATCAACGGCACCAACGGCAACGGGGCGGCGAGCAGCGGCGGGGCGCGGGGCACGCGTCTGCCGCTGCTGGGCCACCACAACTACGTGTACTGCCTGGCGTTCTCGCCCAAGGGCAACATTTTGGCCAGCGGCAGCTACGACGAGGCCGTCTTTCTGTGGGACGTGCGCGCCGGGCGGCTGATGCGCAGCCTGCCGGCGCACAGCGACCCCGTCAGCGGCATCGACTTTTGCTGCGACGGCACGCTCGTCGTCAGCTGCTCGACCGACGGCCTCATCCGCATCTGGGACACGGGCACCGGCCAGTGCCTGCGCACGCTGCTGCTGCTCAACGAGGACAACCCGGCCGTCACCAACGTCTGCTTCTCGCCCAACGGCCGCTTCGTGCTGGCCTTCAACCTCGACTCGTGCATCCGCCTCTGGGACTACATCGCCCAGCCGAGCACCGTCAAGAAGACGTACCAGGGCCACCTCAACAAGCGCTTCTCCATTGGCGGCTGCTTTGGCCGCCTGGCCGACAAGCCGGGCGCCGCCAAGAAGCACAGGCCCTTTGTCGCGGCCGCCAGCGAGGACGGCGACGTCGTGCTCTGGGACGTCGGCTCCAAGGCCGTCGTGCAGCGTCTGCGCGGCGCCCACCGCGACGGCGTCGTCTTCTGGGTCGATGTCTGCGGCGCGACCATGGTCAGCTGTGGCCAGGACGGCTGGATCAACGTGTATCGGCATACAGAGAAGGGGGCGGCAAAGGCAGAGGCAGAGGCAGACGATCATGGTGGAGAGACGGCCAAGACGAGGGGCTGATACTGATATCCAAATAAGAAAGCACGCAATGTTCAAAGAATGGGTCTAATATATAGTCTGTCGTGTCGTGTCCAGCAAAAGAAATCAAGAATAGGACAGGCGTTAAAAGTGAAAAGTAAGACAGTCTAGTGCGACCAGAACTATGGACGACTGGCTTCCCGGTGATGATGTTGATAAAGATAAAACAAAAAGACACAGACAAGAAAACGGCAAAACAATAAGCCTAAAAAGGCAACCAAAAAATACCAACGTCAATAGCCAAGTAGCAAAGCCAACAACCTCAACGTCATATCGTCTCCCACCCGCCATTGTTAATGTCCATCTCCAGCTTCCGGCTGATGAAGCTCGGCACGCCGTGGCTCAGCCACACGGCCCGCAGCATCGCATCGTAGCGCCGCTGGTTCAGCTGCAGCGGCCGTCCGTGGCGGAAGCCCAGGTCCACCTCGCCGTACTTGTCAATGTACGGCGCGTACCCGTACGACCCGGACATGCGGTGCAGGTAGTAGATGCAGCACTTGCGGATGTTGAGGAACAGGCCCATGTTGCGCTGGCACCGCCGCATGTGCTGCTGCGCGCCCCCGATCCGCCGCCGCGCATGCGTCCGCCCGATCCGCTCTTCGCGGAGGCAGCAGATAGCCTGCCCGCAAAACACCTCGCCGCACAGCAGGCAGATCATCGGGTCCGACACGTCCTTGCCCGTCGTCGGGCACCGCGCCCGCGTGCACTCGTCCAGTAGCTGCTCAAAGTTGTGCGGCAGGCCCACCAGTTCGTAGATGCCCGGGTGGCTGAGGAGCGCCGACGAGGGCGACGACGGTGCTGACACTGTCGACGAGGGCGCCGCCGAGGACCCCACCTCCGTGTCCGGTCCTGCCCACGTCGTCGGCATGTCCGTCGACACGGTCGGTGCCGCCGTCCAGCTGGCATGGCCCGCCAGTTCGCTGCCGCTGCCGCTGCCGCTGCCGCTGCCGCTGCCAGCGTCGCCTGCCGTAATGTTGGCCGTCGCGCTGGCAATGTCCGCGTCCGTTGTGTGCACCGACGTGCTGGCCGCCTGGCGTGCCGTCTTCTTGCCCCACGTGTGCGTGTAGTAGTGGTGCACCCAGCCGTTCACAAGCTGCGGCGTCGAGGCCGGCCACCCGGCCGCCGCCGCGCGGTCGGTCACCAGCGCCGCGCACATGTCGTCAAACGACGGCAGCTTCAGCGCCTCGCTGAGCCGCTCGAGCTCCGACAGCTCGGGCGCCGGCGACACGTGCGTGTTGAAGTCGACGCCCGCGTGCGCGTACATGAGCACCACCGCCTTGCGCAGAAACACGAGCGCATACCGCCGGACAAACTGGTAGTAGCCCTCCAGCGTGTTGACGCCCTCCTGGTCGAACCCGCGGTTCGCCCCCAGCGCGTCCGTCGCCAGCAGCGAGGCGTCCAGCACTGCGCTCGGCCGCCGGTGCGTCGTGCGCGCGCCCAGGTCCATGTGCGCGATGCTGATGCAGAACTGCGCAAACGTCTCGCGTGCCGGGTCGCTGTTGCTGTTGCTGCCGCCGCCGCCACCGCCGCCGCCGCCGCCGCCAGCGCTCGTGCGGTTCATGAGCTCGCTGATCCACGCCGACACCGGAATGTTGCGCCCCATGTGGTACACCACCTTGACCAGCTCCGCCAGGTAGCACAGCCGCAGCACGTGGGCCAGCTCCATGTCGAGCGCCGGCACCATGCCGAACGCGCTCTCGCAGAGGAAAATAAACGGGTCGCGCCCCAGCAGCGGGCCGTACTGGTCCGTCGGCGCCGCCGTCGTCTCGGTTTCCTGTTCAAAGTACATGGCCACAAACAGCTGCACGTGCTGCCGCTCGGCGTCGCGCCGGTACTCGCGATCGATGCGGTTGTCGCCGCCGTGCCGCTGCGCGCCAATCGCAATGTACGACGTCACCGTCTCGCAGAGGATGCGCAGGTGCGTCAGCGACTGCTCGGGGATCTTGGACAGCAGCGTCATGCCGTACTCGGCGTCCGTCCCGCGCTGCTGGATCTCCGCCGCCGAAATCGAGTAGCCCACCGCCTGTGCGAGCGTGTCGCTGCCGTAGATCTCGTTACGACCGCGTCCGTTGTCGGCCATCGGCAGCAGCGGCAGCATCGGCAGGTCGTTGGTGCGCAGCGTCCGTTTGAGACGCCGGTACGCCGAGACAAGGTCGCGCACCACATTCGCCGGCTCGGGCTGCGCCTGGCCGCGCGCGCCGCTGCCCGTGGAAGCGCCGCTGCCCGACCCAGAGGCACCCGTGCCTGGCGCAGCGCCCCCGCCCACCCCGGCCATGCCAGCAGCAGCAGCAGCAGCGGCGGCGGCGGCGGCGGCGGCCCCAGCCATCGCAGCTGGGAGCGGCGGCCAGCCCAGCGACGTGCCCGGCCCCGTCGCCGAGGCACCCGCGCCCGCGCCCGCACCCGGCAGGTAGTGCGGGCTTGGGGGGAGGCGCTCCCAGGCTTCGTAGACGAGCTGCGACGCCTTGTCGGACACGCTCGTGAGCATGGACGCGCCAATGTACTGCCGCTGGGTGGTCAGCACCGTGTCGGGCGGCCGCGCGGCGTTCAGCACGTAGTGCGCCGGGCCGGCCATCTGGCGGTCGAGGAACGGCGCAAAGGGTGTGGCGGCGACGAGGGCGCCCGGGTACGACTCTTCCTTGCCCTTCCAGACAATGGGCAGGAACGCGTTGCCGAGCGCCTTGCACAGCGGGCAGACAAACTCGAGGCGGTCCGTGTCTTCGGGGTGGTGCCTTGCTATTTGCTGGTTGTGCCGACGGAGGGTCGCCTCAAAGTACGCCTCGAAGCAGTGGTGGTGCATGATGTGGCCGCAGCCGACCGACAGGACGCCCGGCTGGCAGTTCTTGGACGGAAAGCCCTTTCCAATCACCTGCCGCTCCGACGCAAACGGCGCGCCGTCCGCGCCCACCTTGACGACCGTCTGCCGGTTCTCGTGCGCCACGCCAAACGGCCGGATGCTCTCGGCGGACCGGTCGAGATTCTTGGGCGTCGACGCGGCCTCGCGCACAAAGTCCGGGTCCTGCAGGTCCGTCTGGCGCAGGATGAGGCTCTCGGTGAAAAAGGCAAACGATCCGTACAGACGCCGGTCATCCGTATCCTCTTGGCACAGGATGCACGTGCCGCTCGGGTACTTCCAGAGCTTCTTCTGCGCCTCGGGCGCGGTGGCGGCGGACGCGTCCATGTCCTCGTCCTCCCCCTCGCCCTCGCCCTCGCCCTCGTCGCCGTCGTCCGCGACGCCCCAGTCGATGTCGCCCTGCTTGGCCAGGAAGCTCTTTTGCTGCTCCTGGAACTGTGCCATCACGCGTGCCTGGCGGTCCATGGCCGCCCGCTTCTTGCGCTCGCGCTCCTCGTCGGCGTCGCTGCTGTTGTACGCCGGCGAGGCGGTGCTGATGCGGTCGACGGAGACGCCGAGGCGCGCGTACGCCGACGCAAAGTCGGCCGGGCGCTTCTGGCGCATGCGCTTCAGGATGAGCGTGATCTTGGGGTGGCACGCCTTGAACTCGTCCTTGGTCGACATCTTGTCGAGCAGCGCCACGATCGTCTTGGCCTCGGGCGACTCGGGCAGGAAGTTGCTGCGGGCCTGCTGGTTCAGGGCGTACCGGATAAAGGACGCGCCGGCATCGTCGGCATCGTCGGCATCGTCGGCATCGCCGGCAGCGCCGGCACCAGACGTCTTGTCCTCGGCAATGGCAATGAGCACCAGGTGCAGGACGACCTGCAAGAACGTCTCGATGCGCGTCAGGGGCACGGTGGGCGTCAGCTTCTGGGCCACGAGCGGGTAGAGCAGCGAGTAGTAGATGAGCTGCGCAAAGACGCCGGTGCGCGTAAAGTCGGCCAGGCCGGCAAAGGCGCCCGTCGTGATGGCCTGCAGCTTGGGCTCGTAGACGATGGACTCGGCCGGCTGCCCCGTCTTCTTGGCCATCCACTTGCGGTAGGCCGTTTCGGACTCCTCGCGCTGGTTCTTGTTGTAGTGCGCGCTGTAGGGGTCGACCTCCTCAATGTACTGCGCGTCGAGCTCAAAGGTGCCGACGTCCGTGTTGCCGTCGGGCGACTTGAAGGTGGCCATCTGCTCGAGCACGTCCTGGAAGGTCTCCTGCTCCTGGAAGCGGTCGGGCAGCTTGTTGCAAATGTCCGTGTAGGACAGCGGCTTGAAGCAGAGGACGTGGACGATGTCGCGGCGCAGGGCCAGGAGCTGCGTGGCGGCGTCGTCGTGCGCGTCGACGAGGGACGTGCGGTCGCTCACCAGCACGATGAGCAGGTGGATCATGTCCTCGACGACGTCGAGGTGCTGCGCGTCGTCCTGGGCCTCGGCCTTTTGCTCAAAGATGCCCTTGACCCAGCGCTCCATGCCGAAGCGGTCGATGATGGACACGAGCACGCGGCTCGGGTTGCACACGACGAGGGCCGTCTGCAGCAAGAAGATGTCGCGGTGGTGGGCGACGTCCCGCTGGCTGACGCCGCGGTAGGTGCCGGCCTGGTGGCGCAGGCTGATGCCGTTGCGCACCCACATGCCGGCCTTCATCTGGGCGAGCCAGGCGCAGACGCGCAGCGGGTAGTCGAAGGCGGCCATCAGGTAGTCCTCGGGGCCCAGGCTGGCGCGGCGCGGCATCATCTTGCGCCCCATGGAGCGCGGCTGGACCTTGAGCTCGTGGGTGGTGAAACTGAGGTAGCGGCGCAGGCTCTCGAGCGACAGCGACTTGCCGCACTCGATGAGCCAGGAGAGGGTGTAGTGCAGCGCGTGGTGGAAGCTGATGGGCTGCTCCTCGACGACAAAGCGCACGACGTCGTAAAAGGCCGCGGGGCGGTCAAACTCAAAGTCGGACAGGACGCGGAACTGGACCTCGTCGCGGTTCTCGGCCTGGCTGAAGCGCTGGCGCTCGGCGCCGATGGAGTTGAGAATGACCGTCTTGGCCGTGTAGCGGATGGCGCGGGCCAGGTGGCCGACGTCGGGGCCCTCCAGGTTGCGGTAGGCGTCGGAGAACTGG